GAGAGGGAGCAGCCCTAGGGTCCCCTGGGAGCATCCAAGACCTAAGCTAGTTCTGATTCCCCAGTCCAAGGTAATATAAAGTCCTCTGGTTTCAAAGCAAGGAATTGGGATCTATTCAAAGAATTGTGTTGACTGCCTTCCAAGGTCAGGAAAGAAAGGGGGAGCATTTCAGTGAGTGGGGGTGGAGTTTTTGGATATGAACTAACTTCTCCAACCTGCTTTCCTGAAATGCCACAGTTAACCAGGCCAAAAACGTCCATCAAGCAAAAACTGCATGGCGGACAAAGGGGGTGAAGATCACTTCCTCTGCTCCTCCATTCCTGCATAGGATGGCCATAAGCCTCCAAGGTTAGAGGCTTATGATCACTGAGAGTGCAACCCATAGGAGAGAAGGTTAAAGTTAAGCCAACTTTCCCTCACTCTTCTGAGGATCCAGGTGCAGGCTCCCATTTTTGCTCCCTTCTGAAGGGTTATCAGTTCATTGCAGAACATTGCCACTATAAATAAATAATGCCCACCCCTAATGATGAGGAAAGAGGGTACCTAGTAAATAGCCTGCAAGTTGGTTTAGATAATTCAAACAGTTTAATAACCACGAATTTTGCCTCTGCCAAAAATCATGTTAGCTTTAGGCACAGAGCAATGGTGGAAACTGTTCTGGCCCGAGGGGCAGATTCCTTCCCAGAACACACCACAGGAGCTGGCTGAAGGGGTGGAGTCTTCCTCCTGAATCTGTAGATTCCCCAATCCTGGTCTTCAACCTGCTGCCAAGAACTGAGAGCCAACATCTCACAGTATGCCAAATCTGGGGTACAACTGTGTACCCCAAATTTACAATGTGCAAAGGAGTTACCTTCCCAACTTCTGACAACTTAAATAAATCAGATGTTTGCTTCCATCCAGAGGAGGGGAAAGTCACTAATATTGGCCTAAGACTCTATTGCCTCTCATGGCAAGTCAGTTTGAAAGTATGTTGCAGCCTTGGCCCCAAGGGCCTTTTTCTCCCAGTCTGCCTTCCCCAGGACTTCTCCGTAGTAGACAGATGTTATTCAAGATAAAAATCTGCATCAAACTACAACGCATACTGCCTTAGTAAAATGGGCAAAAGTTCCTGCCTTTATTGCCAACATCAGTGACAATTCTGTCTGCCCTGGTTGTGGCAAGAGTGGCCACCAATTAGCAGGAGATTTATTAGGCTCTGATATTGGAAGGTGGATGCAACATCCTCTTCTAATTTGGCGCAATCCTGTTTAAGGGCACTCAGCCGTTTGAAGAACAGAGATCGAAGGATGTTGTAGAACCATAAAAGGTCGTAATTTCTTCAAGCCCACTTAGATCAAAAGCAAATTCCTGCTAAAATGCAATAGCCCTATCTACCCTAGACCTTGTCCTTCCCAGGAATCCAGGGGAAGCCAAGAGCAATTCTGACACCATGGGTGTTCAAAACTATTAAAAAGTGCTGTTTTATGAACAGTTCTCAGATGGGATTGGAACAGAGAAGATGCTACTGCATGGATAAACCAGTAGTAGTGAGGACTGCACTAGCATTTAAACATTTAAAGAAAGCATGTGAACAAGATAAAGACTTGAGCTTGAGACACAGCAGGCTGGTTCATACGTTAAGGTCATGACTTTGATGGGAAAGCTCAACTTAACTGCAAACTTGCTGAAGCTCAGCAGATATGGGACTACTAAATACCTAGATAAACCATAAATTGCCATTTTGTCAGAATTAGTGAGCTACACCTGACAAACCAGAATTATATCTTGGGATGCAATCCTAGCATACAAGGTAAGCACAAACCAGTTTGGCAGTTTAGCCACTAATACAGGAAATTTAGAAACATAATGGGGAAAGGGGGTCAAAGGAAGTAATGTTTGATACTACAGCGAAATTGGTACTTCATATGTATTAACTCCACTTGCCATCACGTCTTCAAGGTTTTCTCTCCTTCAAGCCATACACAGCTTTGAAAACAAAAAGGTTTCCCAAAGGTCCTGGTTTCTCAGAGCTTTACACCTAGCACTTATTACCTATATTAAAAAGGCCATTATCCTTTTTACCATCTTAACAAAGGCAAGCTACCTTTATTAAGACAAACAGTATCAAAGGAAATTTTTTAGAAGGAATCATAATGACTATCCAAGATTAAGAGATAGCTTTCATTAACAATGAGCTTTCATGAAATTAGAAATTGGAGAGAAAAAGAGAGGAATGCAAGCCAAATAATGCTTATGATAAGCTGCCAAGAGTGAACACAAAAATAAAGCAAATTGATTTGGCCTCCATCATGCTATGGTAAGGCCTATCATTTTCAGTTTGCAACTTGATTAGCTATTATCATTAAAGTCACTACTCACTAATATTCAGATAATTTTTCATGTGTATATTTTAAGTTTTTTCAGCGCTTAAAATATAATTTGAAAAATGAAAATTATATCTAAGTATGCACAACTCTTTATTTCTATTTTAGTTTTACTCCTCAGTGTTCATATTAACCTATGTATACCTCCTGCATATTCAATAATTCCTTCCAGAATACTAGAATAAGGTTTGCATTTCTTCAGCCCTGTATTTGAGCAATTATCCTACACACTCAATCACACATACATTTAATCAATACATAAAAATGGGAGATCCTGAGATGAAAAGCCTCAGTTTAAAGAGATTGTCCTATTGATACTGTGCCAATATATACCAACACTTGCAAAACATAAGCAGAGCTTGCTAGGACAATAGAAAACAATGGCAATTTGCTGCCAAAGTTTAGCATAAATAGCTAGTTCTTCAATTGCCCTATGAAGCACTAAAAATGTTGTATCATGTTTATGCTAGTGCAATGCCATTAGCTCTAAGGCACAATTAGATATTACCCATTATCCCATTTCTGGCCAAGAAACTCACTGGTCAAACTTGGGTCAATCACTATCTCCCAGTCTAATACACCTCAGAGGATTGTTATATATTTTATAGGATTTTGCAACAATCCTAGCTTACAAGGGCTATAAAAATAGGAACACCAAGAGAACTATGCATGCTGCATTAATCTCCCTAGAAGAAAGATAGGATATAAATGTACTCACATAAATGGCAATTTCTCAAAGGAGAGTCCAGTTGGAGTGTCTCCTATCCCTTGCCCAGTGGCTACTACTATCAATTCACCTTGTAGGAGCACAGAAGAGAAGCCCAGGCTAGGTTGCTCATAACCATCAATCTAAAGAATAAGGATCAGCCTGAGTAAGTTCTCTTGCTTCATATCTTTTAACATTTAGAATTGTACTTTACCATGGAAGAAAAGCTGTATCTGAATGGAGAAAATAAAATTAAAGAACTTGGAATTGCACCCAATGTTAGTCTTAACTTCAGTCTAAGTAGAGCTAGCATTAGATACAACATTAGGGCTGTAATTTTTACCTAAGTCATTGGTTATATTAACCAACTAACATACTTTAACAGACTAATAAGATCAGTAGGAAGATCAGCAGAACTTCTATGAACAATGGGGTAGTGCTTCAGACAAAAGATGTTCAAATCCCAGCAAAAGCTTGTGTATTTTATTTATTTTTTCCTATCACTGTCTTGTGATGTGTACAAATTTGAAGTCTCATTAATACATCTTAGAAATCCAATCTTGAGCAAAACAGAGTCCCTAGCTCTCTATAAACATAATTACAGTTAAAAATAACAATTCACCAGAGTCCAGGTCCCTTTAAACTTTGCATTTTTATTATAATCCACCCACTCCTCCAGGAAACAAACAGTGAACCTTTGTGATTTTTCTTTCATGGAAAAAAGTTAAGTGGCCCAGAGGAGGTGTTATGTTATATCAATGCCAAAAAAGAAAAGCAGGTTCAAAACAAAAGGGCATTCAAAATTAGGAGAGGAGGAGGGGGGAGAATACAAGCATATTAGAAAAAGATACAAGTTAAAAAATCTAATTTCTGCTACTCTTATTCAACAATTTTCACAGCCAAAGGATGAATTCAGTACAAAATGCATTTACAAGGTCACCTTCCTGAATAAAACCAACTTTATAAAGTCAATTCATGTGTTCTTTAGTTATGATCATTCTTACAGTATTTGTTGGGAATGAAATTGTAGCTTCCATTTTCTTTTCATTGCTTTCATGAAAAGTAATTCACACACTTAATACTGTGGCCTCAATACCTAAGTTGCGAACTGGGATATTTTCACATTCAATGGTGAACTGTATACCGTGCAATATTTTTTATATATATTCAAATGCGAACATTGAGTTTGACATCTGAGAGGCAGGAAGAAATAGCTGTATGTGTACAGCATTTCTACTATAAACCAGCCTTTCCATTTCCAGATATATGCATTAAAACTGCCCCTTTTTAAAAAATTCCAATTTAAAATCAAATCTAATAATTAATGCAATGTTGTTGTTATGTATGGGGCAAAAGGAAGGGTGAGCCAACAAAAGAAGCCACAGAAGAAAAGTATAAGTTTTGGGTTTGGGCTCCAAATATCCACAGCCTATTCCCCCTTCTTTACTGTGAATATGTTGCTCAAACATCTAGCACCACAAAGATAGCGAGAAGCTACATGAATGATAATGTATCCCCAGCAAAATCATCACCAACTGAGTTAGGCGGTATGGAAAAAGTAGTCCTGATTTCTCTGGAAAGAACCATCATGTATTTAATTGTGCCTGCCAGACTCTATTAAGTTAGAAGGTAAGACTGACAGAGACTAAGGCTTCTTAGCATGCCTGTGGGCTAGAACTGGAAAGTATAGCCCCAAACAAACATTTAAGCACATAATCTATGCAAAGAGTGTACACTGTTCCTGCATGAAGTAAAATGTATTGCGAAATGACAATAATTATGCAATAGATCCAACATACCTGGAGGAGCTCTCTGACTACTATATGAAAGTAACCTGTTAAAGACTTTCGTGCTCAGCTCTGTGCCCTGAGAAACTATGGCATGGATAAGGAGGGGAGAATAAGTGTCAGTGGGGCAAGAAGACACACTTTTTACTTTTTCTTTTCAGATTTTATTTGAAATCTAATTCAAGTTGTCAAAGCTACAAAAAAGGGGGATGAGGGAAACAACTGTGGTTTCACTTTTTTCCTAACTCACAACGTTCTAAAACAAAATATCACTACTGCCAGCAGATCAGTTACACACATTTCAGATGAAGTTTCTAAACACAAAATCTCATCTTGGGAAGTAGCCACAATGAAGGTATTTTGTACAATATAAAACAATGACAGATTCACCGATGCAGTTACTCATAAGTATACACGTGCATTCACAAAAAAAAATAGGAATGCTTTTTTTGTTTTGTTTTGTTTTTTAAACGGACTGTTCAGGCACAAAAACAAAACTGCATTTCCAGTAAGTGACAGCATCATAAAAATTAACAGTTTGTCAGTGTTTGCTCTTCTTTGACTTCTTGTGGGATCTGTGTGGAGAACGAGACTGAGACCTGGATTTTTTCCCTGACTTTTTAGGTGACCTGGATCGTGACCTTCTTGATCTTTTAGGCGTCCTTGAGCCAGACGGTGACCTAAAAATAAATGGTCTAATATTAATAAACTGCTCATTTGACTTCTTTCTGCCAACCTTGATCTTACTGTTTCACAGGGAGATTTAAGGGGTAAAAACCCGCAAACAATAAAAGAATGAAAACGCATTAAATATAGATTTGCAATCAAATTATGACAATTAACCTGTGGCTGGTTAGTCAGGGAAGCTTCCTTGAATAAAAATACTTCAGCAGGCACTAAAAATACTGATGGTAGCAGGAAGAAAGTTACAGAGAAAGAGAGCCAATACACTTAAGTTTCTGTTCCCAATAGATTCCAAACAGGCCACACATCCACACAGAACCACAGGAGTGTCCACTTTTGTGTGAAGAAGCAAGCTTTGGTCCAAACCAATGTAAGTTACATTACCACTTCTCACTGATGTCTCAATCCCTTCTTAAATCAAACTTTCCAAATTAACCTCCAAAGCTCAGACTTTCAATTCCCCTTAGTGTGCAACCCCGGCTACATAAATGAATTTCATTTGTCCTAATTCATTCATTTCTATCCCCTAAACCACAGCATGCCTGCCTCTCCCTCCAGTACTGGGGGCCAGACATTAACATTTCCTTTTCCCCAGTGTTTTCAGTGCCATCAGTAATTTAAATTTAAAACCATATTAAATAGTCTTGCCTATCTTATTATAGCTATAATCCTTAATAAAGTTACCCAGAAATAAGTTTCATCAAATTACATGGGGTTTAGTTCCAAGTAGGTATGCACAACCTGGTTCACATGTAGTGAGAAGCCACCACAGATGAATTTCATCACAGGAGTTTTCTTTGAGCCGGCAGCCATCATTTTCAATAATGAGGGTGAGTGGGAGCCCTGTTCTCATTACATGCAAAATCAGTGAGTGCAGCCTGTTGGGGTACTGACAAACTATTCACAACCTGTAAACAGATTCTAGGGCAACCATTCCCAAAACCCACCCCCCACTGGGTTTATAGGTTACAAAATTATATTGCACCACTGTAACAGTTCCAATATTCAAAATGGTGAATACTGGAACAATATGCCCTATGAGGAAATCTACTCATGATGGCTTCTCATTATGTGTGCACCAGGTCACTGGAAGGCCAAAACTCAATGACAGAGCACTTGCTTTACAAACAGCAAGTTCCTGATTAAATCCCCAGAAATTCCAGGTAAGGCCAGAAAAATTCTGCCTAAAATCCTGAAGAGCTGCAGAGTTAACACTACTGGGCTGTCAATGCAAGGCAGCTTCCTATGTTACATAGTCCAATAATCAAATAAAAATCTCAGTGACTAACCACTAAGGCAAATGTAACAACCTTTGTATAACAAAATGCATTCCAATTAACTATCTGCTTTACCTTTTGGCTTTTTTACTGGCATCTCTGGGGGAATCCTTGTGAGAGGATCTGGAACGTGAGCTTTCTTTGTGGGATCTTTCAGATCGTTCTGAGCGCTCCGATTTCGGCGATGGTGATTTGGCTCGCCTACTTCCACAGCTACGGGATGGACTAGGTGATGTGCTGTGTCGCCTTTTCCTTTTGCAAGAACAACGGACTTTATTAGTTTGTTACAATCTTTTCACCACCCAAATAAAGATGTTTGTCACATCAGCAAATACATATGGCTATCCACCTAACAACTGCTGAATCCCTAAGTATTTATAATCCCTTGAAGTGCAGACATCAGTGTTACTTTGGAAAGCACTTGAAGGCAGCATGACCAAACTGCATGTTTAAATGATGTTTCGGACCAAGTTCATTAAATTAAACTCTCAAAATAATGGTACTTCTACTATTTAGAAATGTATGGCACAATAAATTTCAGAGAATCCAAACTGAATTTTCATTATCATTAATGATATTTGAATGCCATTTTGGGACCTGCATTTTAAACTGTAACCTTGTCATTATTTCCACATGTACATAAGGATATCATTACTACCTTGCAAGTTTAGATATTTTAAAAGTAATTGCTTTAAACATTTCCTTTAAAAGTAGTTGTGTTATCACAGCTAATTAACTAAATGGAGAGTTATTTGTTTTAAATGATGTAATTCTTTACCATTTGTTGTGGTAAATGCTAAAAAACTAGCAAGAATACCATCATTCTATTTACACAGAGAGAGAGGTGGGGAGAGAGAGGCAGAGGCAGAAAACATGATGTTAACAAAATTAAGTACCCTACTGAAACTTTAACATATGTGTCACAGAGGGAAGTTTTGTTATTAAAACATCCATATTGATGAGAACAAAAATAGATTTCTGATCCTAAAATATGTGTTATGTGTGGAGCTACAATGATGAATGTGTCGTTGTCATCAGTGTAAACAATATTTTTGTAGAAGATAAGATAGATCCCTGTCTCAAGGAATTCATCATCTAGCATTTAACACAGAGAAACAGGAAGGAAAGGGGTAAAACAGGGACAGAATGTATGACTGTTTCATTTATCTGTGCTTGACTTTGGTTACAAATTTAGTTGCACTAAGGCCTATTTCATCTACTTAAATTCTCTACCTCTCTTTTCTTGTTGGCGTACATTCCTCTTTTTCCTTCTTCTCTTTGGCTCTGGATTCAGATTTCTCTTTGTCCTTCTTATCTCTTTCTCTTTCTCTCTCCAATTCCTTTTCCTTCTCCTAGAGTTAAAAGTAATTGAGCACTTTAGGCAATTTAGAATTTCTCATATGGCAGCAAATAAACCAGTTACTGTTAATTCATTTTCAGAAACAGAGTCAAAAGAGTTACAGAACAAGAAATAGGAACACTGGTAGCTGCCTGATCCAGGCTCAGACTGCCCAACTATCTAGATTATTATCGACAGTGACCAGCAGCTCTCCAGGGTTTCAAACTTGAGTCTTTTCCAGGCAGATGCCAGACATTGAACCAAGGAAGTAGTCCCTCTACCACTGAACTACAGCAACTCCCATATAGTCAAAGTTTTACAAGACAGAATGCAAATAGTCACTTTTCAAACACAATAAAATGTACATAGAAAATTGGGCTGTGGAGACCTGGGTTCCTCACTCAACCAAGATTCTAGGTCAGTTAGTGAATCTCAGTCCAACCTACTTTACCGAGTTGTGGTGAAGATAAAATAAGTAGGATTATGTATACCACCTTGAGTTCTTTGGAGGAAAATGTGGAATATATATTTGACAGACTGAAAGATACCTAATACTGCCTTTTTAATCCCACTGAATCTAGTCATCAAAGGTTTTCAGATCAAAGCTACAAAAATTAGTTAACTATTTGTTTAAAAAATTAAGTAATATGCCCCTAGTACATATGACAATGTACATAACCCACTCAGTAAGCCATGTGGTTAATGAGGTGGACTAGAAATCTATTAAGTAAATAAAGTAAATCTTCTTTTTAAAGACATTTTACACTAACCTCAAATAAATATCAAGCTATTTTTTCTAGCATACAAAACAAATTATTTGAATATTAGCCTTATACCATATTCTATACAGTCAGATATACAACTACATTGGAGGGCACATGCTCTATATTCAGAAAGTCCAACTTTCAGTCTTGAGCATCTCCAGGAGGGGCTGGATATGAGTCTGAGCAGCTACAACCAAACAATATAGACAAATGTCAACAGTTATCTTGGTGCCTGATTTGGAATAAGGTAGTTTTCCAGGACACTCTTCACACATAATACAAATCTCTATTTCAGCATAATATGCATTCCTATGTGCTCCCTTTCTCCTTTGCACTTATTACTGACTTTCTACTGTCTTTCTAAAAAGGAATAAGAATAGAAAAAAAACCTATGCTGGAACAGACCCAAGGTCCATCTAGGCCAGTACTCTGTATACATGGTGGTAAATCAGCTACCCACAGAATCCCCCGTGCAGGAAGGATGCAGACCTCCTCCTGCCCAAGCAACTGGTGTATTCAGGCATGCCACTTCTGCTAAAGGAGGCAAGCACATAGCCAGCAAGGCTAGTAACCAATGATGGCCTCATCCCTCATGAATCTATCCAATCTCTTTTTAAAGTTATCCAGATTGACAGACATCACTACTTCCCAAGGCAGCGAATTACATATTTTAATTATACACTGTGTGAAGAAGTACTTCCTTTTATCTGTCTTAAACCTCCCAATCAATCAGCTTCATGGGATGACCCTGGGAAGAGGAGAGAAGGAAAATGCCTCCCTCTCTACTCTCTCCGCAGCATGCATTATTTTAAACACCTCTCTCGTGTCTCCCCTTTACTCAACCTTTTTTAGGCAGAACAGTTGTAGTTTTTGTAGCTGTACCACACAGGGGAGCTGCTCCAGCCCCTGATCATATTTGTTTCCCTTCTATGTACTTCTTCCAACTCAATAATGTCAGGTAAGGTGACCAGAATTGAACACAATATTCAAGTGTGGTTGCACCAAAGATTTGCATAACAGAAGTAAGATTCTGGAACAGAAGATATTTTCTGCTCCATTCCTAATTATACCTAACATAGAAATTACCTTCTTCACAGCAGCTAAGCACTGGGGCTGACATTTTCATTCAATTGCCCACTACTATCCCAAGATCCTTTTCTTGCATAGTCTCTGCTAGTTCAGATTCCATTCATATATATCTAAAGTTGGGATTTTTTGCCCCAACATGGATTACTCTACACTTGCTTATATTGAACTACATTTGCCATTCTCCCCCTTTGTAGCTCCTGACAATCTCTTCTGGTTTTAACCACCGTAAAACACTCAGTTTTATCAGCAAACTTGGCCACTTCAATACTTACTCCAATAGGTTACTACTTCTGCAATAGTTCATAAAAATATTAAAACAGTCTTAAAAATCATGACTTGCTTGTGTAGAGACCAGAAGCTCTTCCTCATTTTAAAAAATAGCAGGAAAACTCAGTTTTCAAAATAACTTAGTTTTTTGAAAGCATCTTCTTTCCCTTTTTAAGTTACTGGTATTCTTCATAACATCCAATCTGCTCCTCCAAGCTTGTGATGAAAGGGACTGATCCTGAATTCACTGCTATTTGTGCAAATTACTACATGCAGACCAAGACTCATTACTAGCAATGCATAATCTGACATTTTTCAGATTAATATTTAAAATACCCCATACAGTAACACTACTCACTCTCTGGAGCAGTTTGTCACGATAATGTTCAACCTGCTCCTGAAGACTCTGCCCTTGTTTCTTGGGTCTTTTCCCGGATTCTAATTCATCTTGAAACTTCATCACCTTAAGCTGTAAAAATGAATATATGAACATTTTTAATGATACTTATCTGCTATTTTGTAACAACACACAATGTTGTGTGTGTACAACACACACAACACACAAAATCACACAGATGTACAACACACAAAATCTGAAGTAGAATTTTATTTACTCTGTTTCAGTCTTAGAGCACAGGGTTAGGCACATTCTCATACATTTCTTTTCAATGACAAGTACTCTGTTAAATGGCACAATTTAGTCTTATTAAAATACCACCGCATTTCTCGAGCTATGCATGACATTTGCAACAAGTCTCTGGGACTTCTCTCTTCATTTGGGCTGATGGGAATCAACTTAAAGATGGCTTTTCTGTACAGTTCTTAACCAAATGAATATAGCCTGGGCTTTCTCCTTATATAAAAGCTACAAAAAGTGGAACTGTATTAGGGCTGAATTCAAGGGCAGCACATTTTGGATCTCGATCCTCACACACACTGGTTGACAATGAATATTTTTCAAACCCACTCTTCTGTTAAGAGAATATTCCATGAAATGATGGAAATTTAATACAGACTTAATGTACTAATAAACTTATTTACATTAGACTCATTCAGAACTTACATTAAACCACAGTTGAGCATTACATGAACAAAAGCTTACACATACTTCTGGTGAAGACCCAAGCTTTGCTTCTCTAAACTAAGCACAGTTTAGCATTATGTCTAAATCCAGACCAACTGTAGTTATTCTTGACCATGGTTTAGAGTTTAGGCATAATACTGAGTAGCTAACTGAAAACAGAATTTATCATTTGTGATCTTTTTTCATAGCCACTACAAAGGTGGAGAGAGTGCAAGAGCCCTAGGCTAAATCACTGTTTAGTGGTATGTTTAAATGTAGCTGTTAAGTTTTAAACAAAGAAAGGAATTGTGATGCATCGCTTCTTCTTTCAGAAGTAATTTTAGTGTACCTGAGATATTCATCACAAAATAAGCTTAGAGATTCTATTATGTCCCAAGTAAATTATATGCAGTGTACACTGAGGCTCTAATATATATTTGAGAAAACATGCTGACACTCTTACAGATCAATTTAACTTTTTATGAACCTGTTCTCTTTTCACTAGTAGAGTGCATCCTAAACTTTCCAAGGGGTTTGAACTAAAACATACTTTTGCTGAAGTGTTCTTCCAATGCTCTAGGAATGCAATAAAATCTTCAAACATTCAAAAATACAAACATGGATTGTGTAAATGACCCAGATATCTTCAACTGAGGGACAGTATAGAAATAATTCTATAAAGCTTTGAAAAGGGGTAGAATAAATAAATATTCATCTTTAAATCAGAACAGGTATATAAGCAGAAAGTCCCTTCAAAACCATTCCACAAAATAGAATAGAATTATACTTCCACATTACATTTTGGGCTTCACATGCTTTTGATAGTTATGGCCCAATCCTATCCGTTGCCTCTTCACTCCACACCACAGCTATTACTTGCTACTTAACAGTTCTTTGCAATGGTGCTGAGTTTGTTATAGAACTATTCAAACAGAGATACTGCTCATTTTGGTGCAAATTAGTAAATCTAAAATATGATCAACTATTAATAAAGTACTATTAAAATCAAGTGAAGAGTTGGAAAGCAAGAAAGTCCGTCCTGTTTTTAAGGCTCACTTACTTTGCTGAGTTCTTCATACAAACTATCACCACTTATAAAACTACTTTTTATATTAATGCTTCTCTCACACACCCACACATACCTCAATTTCTCGGAGTTTGGCACGTTTTTCCTCACTCATTTCTGAGTACTTGCTTGAAGACTTTGAATCAGACATTTCTTCTCTAATAGGATTGGTATACATGTGATGCTCTTCAGATTTTGAACTCTGAGTATCTTCTTCATCTTCACTTTCTTCTTCTTGGCTTTAAAATAGGAGTAGTACATTCTTTCAATTTAATCTCCAGGGAAAAGCAATCTTTTATCTCCAGGAAAAGAGTTGCAATGTACAGTACTGCCCAGTAAAGCATTTTGTAATTATGTAAGCTCAAGCATTCTCACACAAAAGATCATCTGTGTACTTTGCTCTATATTAGTTTTGTTACATCCTCCCTTATAAGACATTTTTGATTTTAACTTTTAAGTAGTGAAAAAATACTTGTGACGGGAAGAAAAGGGCAAGGCAGGCAAGATGAAATTGCTCTTTTCACTCCTTCTCCACCCCCTCAGTCACCCATAAAACAAACTGCAGACAGACTTCAGATAGTCTATCCGCTCTAGGTTGTTTTCATAGATATGTGAATGGAGATGATCCCAAAGTATTTGAAATCCATCCCTGCCATCTCCCTTAATTGTTTTGGCAACTAGTTCACTGAGGAGGAACCTCCTCTTTACTAATGGAAGGCAGATTTCAGAGCATCTCTAGAAGATTCTATGTACATTTACACTGATCCTAACTCATGTACTAGAAACTACAACTGAAATTAATGGAAGCAGTTTGCACAGGCTATTAAAAGCTGCAGTACAGGATGTGTAAGTTATTTATTTCATCCATGCTTCCAGGGGAAATCTGGAAGAATACTCATTAGGCTATAACTTGCCCATCTTGTTACAAGAAAGGTGAGAAGTTGCAAGCTCGCTTTTGTGAGTACAGAATATTAAGGGGAAATGTGTAGCCCTCCAGATGCTTCAGTGCAACCCCATTAGGCCTCACCAGTGGTGTGGGACTGTGGCAGTTAACAGTCCAAAAACATTTGCAGTGGGTCACTGTTGCTACTGAGGCTACAGCAAAGCTGCTCTTCAGTCAGGATTTGGCTGAAGCCAAACAACATGTCTGAGAATTATATAGAGCTTGGTAACAAAAAATCCCAAACACTGTACAACTGTTCCAGCTGGACATTACAGTGAAACAGGGGTGTGATAACGTATGGGAGATGTTCATGAAGAACATCCTTGTCACAGATCCCCGAGTTATTGATCTGCTTATAACTAAGGGGAAAATGGAACTCCAGGAAACTATTGGAAACTATTTACATGTGGAAACAATGGACCCATGTAATGAAATATTTTCATGAAACACCACAACCCAAGGACTTCCGGTCCAAATTCTATGCAGGCCATGACCCTTGAGCCAAACAGACTTTGTGGAGCTGTAATTCTCTGTTTTCTTTTGGAAATAAAGTCCTACATATTCAAAATATTCTCCACCCCTGGAAATTCTATATGTCCTGCAATTATTGAAACCATCTTTATTCCTTTACTGAGTCAGAGTGTCTAAAAACAAACAAACAAACCAATATCTCAATTCTTACTTTTGATTTTCTTCCTCCTCAGATTCCTCATGCTGGTCAAATAGCTCCCATTTTGATGTTGTTACCGCTATGAAGAACAATATTTTGGATTAAAGTTTTAAATCCTGTCTCAAAAATTACATATCCTTTATAAAGAATACATTTAACTGGCCTGAGTAGCTCAGTTAGTTTCTAACTTTGTATTATTGTGATGCCTTCTAGGATGCTTATTGTTTTATTAATATTTAGCATGAAATACTCAACTAAAATTCATCAAACTGAAATGTCTTTAAAAAGAAGTGACAGGAAATAATATGACACTACCTTGAGCTTCAAGAGCAGATTCATCCACTGCTTCCCACTTTGAAGGAGCAACTTTGAAAATCGGCTCATTCTTTTTAGACTCTTCAGCAGCATCCACTGTCAAATAAAAGATTCACGCAATAACTGAATTTCTTAAGTGGAATGACTTAGTATACTCTTTTATTTCATGGCATTTAAAGAAGCAAACCATTTAAATGATGTAATCCTCATCAGACCTACTTGGAAATAAAAGCTGATATAGAAAGAAACCCTATACTATACCTTACATATTAGGCAGAACCAAATCACAGTCAGTCTAATGGGATTTATTTCCCAATGCATGAGTCTTGAACATTCAAAGAAGGCCATATGACACACTCAGCACCAAATAATTTTAGAATTATTCAATAGTAAAAAAAAATCCTTTGGCATATAGAAAATTGCACATCCAGGGAAAAGGTCAGTGCACTGTCTGACACATATACAAATATAGTGATTCTAAGGAACTATCAAGTCCCCCTCTGAACATTTGAATCCACCCTAACCAAAGAACAAGATTACAAATGGCATTGGAAGCCTGATCCAAAGCTCCACAGAGCTCTCCTGTGCACAGGAGTCACCATATCAGAGCTTCTGACTTCTTACAATTTTGCACTGAATCTATCAGTTATAGAATGCATTAAAATAAACACATATTAAAGGCTTTCTTTAATAAGCCAGAGGATTATGACCTAACAATATAACCAAAACATAGCACTTGCTTAGGTAAGACTGAGCATGGACAGAACAGTAACAACGAACCCACTTTATATCCTCCATTATTCTACAAAAGCCACATTTGTATTAAAAATGTACTGTCAAATCCCACCAATACTGTATTTAAATACTAAACAACCATAAAAGTACCATAATAAGATGGTGATTCCATTTACACATTAAGCAGAAAATTTACAAAATTGAAATGCAGGGCTTTTAAACATTAAAGTTAGATATTCCTTACAGGGTACACCATCGAGGTCATCATCAAGTGTCTTAATAGGGACTCCGTCAAGATCATCAATTGGAGCAACATCAATTGGAATTCCATCTACATCTTCTAGTGGAGCACCATCAAGCTCTTCTTCAATGGGAGCTCCATCGAGATCATCAGGTACTTCCTATAAACAAAATAAAAAATTTAAGATTCCTAAATATACCTAATGGTTTCCCTTCATTTTCAGTGAAATGAAGCATTCTTTAATGCTTTATTCCACTTTTTTCCCAGTATGTGTTTAACTCACACAAATGCACGTATCTGCCAATTTGAGTCAATTCCCCAATCCAAACATTCCTTAGGAGTAGAAGGAAACAAGGCCTCTGTGTCTGCACCCAGTACACAATGTAACAAGGTATCTGCATAATACCAATTGATTTATACAATCTTTCAGTCTTGAGGAATAGAAGTTTCGACATCTTATATAGCGTATATATGGATATGAGTATGCCAGCAGCACAGTTATGATGGATGAGTAGCTCATCACTCAGCACACAACAGAAAATTATTGGATTCACAAACAAATATCATGTATACAAGATTCTCTGACATCCACATATGATCTGAAGATGCTAGAAAGTACTATCCTCAAAGATGAATATGCAAACAATTTTTTGCTCATGGAATAAAATATGTATTGTAAATATGCACGTGCTAAACTCTCCATTAGGCTGAAATACTTTTGTATTTCCATGTTTTCCTTCAGTTACCAAGTACAAACTCAATTCCCATATTCCTTGCAAATCAGTTCAGATGTTTAGCTCTGTCAACTACAACTCATTCCCAAGCCAGTATCTCCTCCACACTTATGCCAAATTCTTGTGCCAGGTTTGCACTGTTTGTGCCATAAATCTCAAGTTTTATGCAGCCATCTTAAATAAAGTTTGGCAAATGCTCAAGATTTGTGACACAGAATCAGCAAAAAAAAAAGGCAGAGTTTGTAAATCTAAAATGCAAATGGCAGAGTTTGTAAAAGTAAAATGCAAACAGAATGTTTAGCAGTTGTTATGAACCATCACAATTTTGGTGATGGCATAAAATTCAGAATTTCTGGGACAAATACTAAAAGCCAGCATCTGGAGAACATAATAATGAGCAGAGAATATGTAGTTAACAAAGCCCACATGTTCTGTGTAAACTTTTAGCTTCTCCTGTGGCCTACATCCCCTCACAAAACATCTCCAGCTTTAGTAAATAACAACTAGTATCTATTTATGTTTCAAACAGTCCACAAATAGCTAGTTGGCCATTCTATGAAAAGAATGCTGGGCTAGATGAACCTCTGGCCTGAAGAAGCATGGTTCTTGCACTCTAATAATTTAAATGCTTCCAACAACCATATTATCTATAGTCATCTGCTCTAACTACAAGATTAAGCAACTCTTAAGATATCTTTTTCCCTGCTTCCATGAGAAATGGAAGCAAGCAAACCCCACCTATCAGAAGTTCCTGATTCTAACAATTGTTGAAGCAAATTTCAGAAGCTTGAGACAAATACTCATAAAATTCCCATTCCACTAATTCCACATGGAAGAGATGAGAGGCTGTTCTTAAACATTCAGATATTTTAAAATTATCTCTCCCTCTCACTCAAACACACACCTGAATACTGATAAAGAGGCAATGCACGTGCTTCAGGTTCCAAGCAATTTCCAATACGTAACTGGTAAATGAGCTAGTTCAAAGGCAAAGGTATGGACAATGTTAACATTCATATCAGGAAAAAAAACTGACTTTATGCAACCTCAAATCAATGGGAAATTTCATTTCGGAACCAAAAGAAGCTTTCATACCCTAGATCCTGATACAAACCTCTGCTGCAAACATTTTCCTTACCTCTATGGCTCCAAATTCTTGTTTGCTTCCACATCAATAGTATCAATAATGGTCTTATCTCAAACTTACCTCTGGTTCCTTTTCTTCAATAATATTTACAAGCCCCAAGAAAATATTCTGCAGTTTGATCAAAAATGGTTCTGGATAAATCGCCCAGTCTTCCCATGCTCTGAAGCATGTCATTACCCGTTGCTAAAAGTAGTAAACAATGCTAGTCATTTGTATTGAGAAGTACTTTAACAGCAAAAAATAAAGTGCAAGGCTATAAATCTAGCACTGTGCCTTTCTCAGAATATTCATACAGGCTTTGGTAGGTCTGTTAATTTTGATGGTGAAACCATTACAAACAGAGAAATTTGGCTTTGGGGCAGTATAGAAATAAAACATAATCATGTCAGAGATACTAAAATGGGATATGGATCGCACTGTTTACATTTAATTTGAATTTCCTTTTCAAAGCAAGATCCATGGTTTTACGATTCCTCTTATTACAAATTTAATTCATCTCAGTTTAGAGAGAAATTTTAAGACTTTCTTTTGCTATGAGCTAATATAAAAATATCAACTAAATGCAATAATATCTACGTACATAAATTGCTTCTTGAAAGAGATTATTATATGATCAGTGCTCTAAGCAAAAGCCTCAGTCCTAGAAGTAGGCCTGAAAGTATTTCACAGAAACTGACCTGATTTGTGCAATATGTCAAACCACCGCTGGTAACCAGCTATGTTGGGATGCTGTGTCATCTGAATTCAGCAGAGTTTAAACAAGGAGGCTTACTTTTCACAAATAAGTCCATGGCTTATTCTAGAGGTTATTCAAATCATGATGTTATGTTGTCTGAACCCAGCAGGACAATTTTATCATGGGTTACTGGAAACCACTCAATAGGAGTGACAAACCTCCCCATCACTCACTTTAATTATCTTGCCAGTGATTGCCCTCCTATCAATGCTGAGACAGTACTTAAAAGGACCTTATTTGTTCCTTAGCTTTTTTATTTTAATTTTGGATCATCAAAAAGTACAATTTTCATTTCTGACTTCTGAAAATCAGACTTTAAAAAATTGCAAGTCCTTTTCTGGTGTCCATTTGCACTCTTAAGCGTTATCTAATATAAGACAAGCCTGTGTACAAACCAATTTGTGCAGTTGCCAAGCTGTCCTTCTCCTAACTGGCAACTGAAAAGCACCCATACACAGGGGAAAGTGGAAATGGCAAGTGTAACAAAGGAGATGGCAGCAATATCTCCCAGTATGCAATGTAATCCTCCTGAATTTGTGTATTAAGGTTACAGTTCTCAATGCCTTCTCTTCTGTAACACTTCCCTGAGTTTGAAGATTGTGAGCAGATAGCAGCTACTGAGTCTGTTGGCTCCTGACTACTTTCACTTCCTAGATAATGCAGCAATGTTCCCTTCCTGGATTGCTCAACATGAATCAGAACCATGGATAAATTTAGTGTTTCAAGTCTGGACAACAGAGAGAACAATTCAGGAATGGGGGTGGTCCATGGATGTTGAGCAAAAAAGAAAGCAGCCAGGCAATCAAGAGCCAGCACACTCCCAACCATTCACCAACTACCCACCATCAATACGCGGTTTGGCTAATCATTTAAATTGGATCTATGTGATGAATACTACTTTTATTGAATAGTCATTTTCTGAGCCATTACTTGCCTTTCAGGCCTATTAATGTTCAATATTTGGACTATTAAGTCTCTCTTTCAATTTTATTTCTCATATTATATTCTCCCTGAAAATTTCCCATTTCCAAATCAACTCTTCACTGTGCACCTTCTCATTTGCAACATTCTCCTTACAAAATTTTAATCACAGAAAGGGTTGTCCTGGCACCTATGCTAATTTTTTTCACACTAGGCAAAGATCTTTTAATGCTATTGGTCTTTTAATAATGGCATATTTTATTCTGCTAGTTTATATTATCTATATATTACTTTATAGCTTTTATGAAAAGCATCCTGGAAGTACTTATTCAAGGTCAGTAAGGTTATTCAACATATAAATAAAACGGGGGACATGTCAATAATAATCATGCACATACCTTAAAATTTTCAGACTGTAAATGGCCTTGTATTGTTCGGTAGGTAGCATTCAGATCAGAGTATATCTGACACAGCTTTGTTTCAAAACTGAAAAGACAGTTTTCATGTATTAGACTTCACAAAACAACAGACAAAATGGAAGGCACTCAAATTCTACCAAAACTAAAAAGAGGGGAAAAGTGTCAAATTTTTCAGTTATACAGAAAAGTCTTTGAGTCAGAACACAACTAAGTGGGAATAGGTCTCAAATCTATGATTAAGATTACAACTACAGAAGTTGCTATAAATGTGAAAATTTACTGCTGTGATCTTGTAGAACCCCTAGTTCTACTATTCCCAATAGCATGCTACAAAGGAAAGTTAAAACAGGTAAGGGGCACAATCCTACGCATGTTTAGACATAAAAGGTCCAATCCTGGAGGCAGAATACTGTACATTGTAGTTTTGTAAGTTTTGTCTAAACTTGCATAGAATTGTGCCTAAGCTGACCAGAAAGAAATGCTGTTTCTATCAGTGTACAGTATATACATCTTTAAAAGACTGCTAAAGGCAATGTCTAAGAAGCATACAGCAGGGATGAGCAGAAGATAGATCTCTAAATGTTTGGGAGATTTAATTCTCAGATGTCCCAGACAACATGACCAATAGTCAGGAATTCTGACAGCTGAAGACCAAAGCATCTGCCAACACCTACCAAACAGCATAAATAGGTAGCACATGCAAACTTTTAAGTCTACAAATATTATTTCATTCTTCTGAAAGATACTAAAATCTTAATACTTACAATTTTCTGTAATATGAAGCATTGGCAACTTTTGCTGAAGAATTGTACAACACATCGGAAACCAAATATAATCTTGCAATCTACAAAGAATATAGGACTGAGGTCACCCATGTTAATTTACTTAAAAATGAACAGAAGCTCATGAACCATTAGCAGAGGCATGTTGTTGTGGGGATAAGATAGAGAGCAACAGGAGGAGAATGCTGTAAGTCACTGTGAGCTCATTAAAAAGGAAAAAGGTGGGATGTAAATCTAATTTTTAAATCCCATGCAAATTTAGTAAATACTGACATCTTAAGGAAGACTAGGGCACAAGCAGCTATTGTTTCCTATTAAAAACATATATTCATAATATCAAGTCCTGTTTAGGGATACCAAATTATCAGATATTAGCACAAAAATACTGAACATCTGATTTCCACAGAGAAATTTAATGACAATTCTTCAGTGTCAATCAAACATGCACAAAGTTACACAGAAATTCCATACAAGACATAGATATTGTTTGAGAGATCATACCTTTTTAGGAAGTGGAGTTTTCAAGATGGACAGTGATTCAGCAATGCAGTCTACAATTTCTTCAGCAGCTTCAGCATTATTAAGACAGAAAACCATTGCATCTCCAATATCATTCTTACGCGGTGTTAATCCACGCAGGATTTCCTCTAACTTGTCCCTCTGTCTAAAATTCCAGTTTCAAATTTTTAGATAACTTAGCAATTTTTTCTATATATTTATAAATGAACCTTCCTGTACATTATACTTTAGGGTCAAAATGATGTAGAGCAAACTGCATTACAGTTCTAGTGAAGCTAGGGTTTTGTAAATGTTAATCCTTTTCATCCTTACTGAATATCAGGCAAAATGACATTTAGATTTTAGTTACTTATATGGATTAGAAGGCTTTCAAACACATGCATGCACCCACAAACAGACAAAAGATGGCCAACCGTTCTACACTGAGCTCCTACCTAAGCAAAAAATAATAGTGCACATGGCCTATTATGTATCTAGGGAAAAATGTATTGCATTCTTTAAAGATGCTTACTCTTCCTTAAGTGCACCCTTCTTGCTAGGCTCCTCTACAAATGCTTCGGGTTCTTGTTCTTCTGACATCCCATGGAGATATGGGTTTAAAGGAGGTGGTCTCCAAAATGAACCATTCTTAAACATACGGAAGTCTTCAGTCCTCCATTTGGTTGGTGCATCACCCTAACAAACAAAAACAAGCCAAAGTCAAAGCAACTATTGGGCTGAATTCTGATTTGCCCCTCCATTTAATCCACTTGCAGAAGGACCCTTGATCTACTGAAGGGGGAGCAGCAACAATTTTCTCTAATTCTTCTTTCTCCATGAATATTCTGGTATCACTTCTGTGCTGTTCTGAAGGGCAGAAAAATTTGTGCTAGAGATTTCAGGAAGAGATGGAACACTGAGAAAATCAATGCCCCCCCCCCTTCTTTCAACACCAGTGGTGGCAACACAATAAGTTTTGCTATACTTAAAGTTAGAAACTGCTGTAAAGTATTTCTTACTTGTAGAATTGAATAAAGCTTCCATCTGTAATATACATGGGCTGGAGTCTGGTTCTCAAATAAAAACCTAAACAAAAAAAGAAGAATGTAGAATCAAAACAGGTTACTACTCAGAAAAAGTAGCATTTTAAATATGTTTGAATATGTGGTTGTAAGCCACCTAGGAAGGTCTTTTGGCAGTTATAGGCAACATATTAATTAATTAATTAATCAATCAATCCCAAAACAGAGCAAAAAATACCAAAAAAATGTCATTAATTACATCCCTACCAAAATGTTCTTTTATCCAACAAGATTCAATTCAGTGAGTCTTAGTTTTTGCAAGCAGAAGGAGGTTGTAAAACTGTGTCTGAGCTGTACCAGTTCAGACTTAGTGCTGAATGCTCACATGATAAAATACTTTCCCATTTAAAAGCTAGATTCCTACAATCAGATGAAAGGCTGACTAGAAACCTTTTGTACAACTCATAGGTTTTATCATAATTTGGGTGGGAAGGTTTTAACAAAGGAACAGTCACCCATGCAATCCTACAACTGTAATCTGAAGTGATATATCTGCAAACAAATCTATTAAGACATCCTCTGCAGAGCTATACCGGGTAATTTGTTCAACTGCCCCATTAACAAAAACATGCAACAGCAACATGCAAAGGTAAACAAATGGGGGGGATAACCACCTGAACATTGGATTGTTGATTTCTCTATTCATAATCATGGCTTCAAACATAGGTCCTTCACGCACCACAAACTCTATCATTCGATGTATCAGCGCAAGCAAATTCCTACAACAATAACACAGTTAAAGAAAAATTGATTCAGACCTAACACTCTACCAACTACACTCCACCTAAGGTATTTATAAGCGGAGAAGATAATTTTTGCTGTACACTTAAGAAGATTATACAATTTAAGAATTTGGAGCTGTCTTCTAACCTTCAGTGACGGGCAACAATAAAACTGAAGACCATGTGCCTCCAATGACAACACTGATATAAGAAAGCCCTGTAACTCAAGCACTGTATTGTATAAGTACAAAAAAAGTTTGTATTTCATCTCTGCTTGAGTCAAGAATAACAAATGCTGTGAAATTGTATATTTACAGCGTTTAATCAATACCATGCTGACAGTTATAATCTATGTATGATAAAATAGTCTGTTTAAACCCAGTGAAATTTAAGATGTTGGCTTTAAAAGATAATGCATAATTGTGCAGGCACACACACAAATGTAAACAATTAAAGTACAAGGGGGAGGCAAGGTGGAATTGGGAAAACTGATGCTGCAGCATTGCTGGCAGCTAACTGCACAAGGACCTGATCTAGTCAGTACCTTGGATGAGAACTCTTTGGGAACTTCATGTGAGTGGAATGTAAATTATTTTTAACTACATATAACATTAGGAAGAATACTTTATTCATATGACTACTTAAAAAAACTGATAAAAAGGAAGTTATCATTAATGACAACATTCCATTTAGTTAAAATTAAGGAGACACAAATACTAATTCCTGCACAGTTTTATTTCCTTAGCACAATAAAAGATTCAATGTGTCCATAATTAAGCATTTCAAATTCCATTCAAAGATTCACAAGTAAGAAATTGCAAAAATCAAATACTACAATATAGTTAAATAGTAGTTCTTACTTTGGAATTTCTCAAATGTTAAATCTATTATCTTAGATCCTAACTTAGGCAAACTTACAGAAGGAAAGTTTCTCATGTCCTCCCCAGCCATATCCTCAAAAGCCTACATGAAGGCTTGTGCTTCATGTAGCACATAAAAGGTGCTCTTAAACCATGCATGAGGCAGCACAGGGGGCAGGAATGAGCAAACTCTGGTTAATCAATGTCTCCATTCTCCACCAGCCCCCTGTGCATCAGCACACATTATTCAAGAGCAGCATCCAGCCCATGACAAAGGCCTTTCAGGGTATAGGTAGTTGTAGGAAGGATGAAGGAACAGGAGATTTGCTTCTGTGAACTACCTTAATTTAACTTATTGTAGAGATCAAGCCATTAACCCCAATCCAGAAAAGCACAAGCAAGAGTTCCATACACAATGAGTTTGTTTTTCAAACAAACTTTGCTGAATAGCACCAGCATCTCATGCTGTATTGCAAACTGCAACTTTCCAGAGTTTAAAAGGAAGTCCATGATGCTATACAGGGAAGGCACTAAATGAAAGTTTTTTAAACCCACGGTACACAAGTACTCTTATGCACGTGAAAGGAAAAAAAAAAAAAAAACACTTCACTGGGTTGGGGTGCTAAGCTGTATGCCAAAACAAAAAACAAAACCCATCACAGTGTGCAAGAACAATAAAAACAGTTCATTTCCTCCCCTCCCCACCTACCCCAATTTTGTCCTATTATAAACATTATTTGCATTAAATCAAGAGTATTGGTTCTCTGCCATATCCAAAAGGTGTTTGTAACTCCAAACTGAGATGTATGACCCACAATTTTAAACTTGCAATTATTTTCAAGTATGATACTCAAACTCTATCTTTTCACAAATCATCAATGTGCATAACATTTTATATCAAGTTTTATCTAATCTTTATATTAATTGCTCACAGGTACACACTTCTGCTTGACAAGGAAAGTATCTCTCTACCCTGATTGTTATGACTATTCTTACACATTAAAAGCATCCTTAACTATTAGAAGCAACCTGGAAATAGTATATTCTGCTCACTTGTCAATATCTCTATCCTATCATCTTCCTTAGCAGCACTGCTTAAAAATTCCAAATAATTCAATAATGCTTTTATTCACTGCAGTTTTCTAAAAGGAGAAAGTATATCTCAGCACATATAAATTGTATTTGAAGATACCAATAAAAAGCAGCCTTTTCTGGTTTTGACCTTTAAGACTGTTCAAGGCATGGGATTGGGTATTCAAAAGAACGCCTCTTCCACATGTACCTACCCAGACTCTTGAATCATCTGAAACCCTTCCCTCAGTCACTTCCACCAAGATGCAATCTTCCTGGATACTACCCTCAAGATCTGGGGCCTTCTTCCAAGTGCCAATTCCAAGAGAGGCTGGGGGGGTGGCAACAAGGGGAAGGACTTTCTCTGTGGTGGCCACTCATCAGTGGAATGAGCCACAGTGGCCTGCCTGGTGGCAACCTTGTCTTCTTTTCAGCACCAGGTTACATCAGCTCTTATGCCGAGACTTTTAAAATGTACTTGGTTATCCATGGGTTTCACAGGATTTTACAGGCTCATTCTTCATGTTTATTGGTCTTTTTAATTGTTTAATGTTTCCTTTGATGAGATTTCATGGTATTTTATTGTACTGTTCTTACGCACTGTTGCAAAGTTCCCCAAGAGATTTGTCTATGTGGTGGTACAGAAATGCAATGAAAATTGCTACAATACTTTTTTAAAAAGGTAAATATCCAAACTTGCTACAAAGTTTCAAAAAGCAAAATGTTATAATGGAGGCAATAATCTTAACATGGATGAAGTGCTACAATGCTCTATATTAACAAGAACACTGATATCCCTTCTTTGCCCCCAAAGTTAAATGGTCAGGCAGACACTGCACCCATTAGGGCAAGTTTCTGTTATACGAAACAATGTCTCCTAATCAATCAAAATTAAAACCCTCTCTTCCTACAGACATAGCAGAAACATGAAGCCTAAAGTTGGTCAACTTGCACTCCTTTGCAACCCACTGGAATGTACTGAAGTTGCATTCTGTTTTTCTTCAAAATATGTTGTCCTTGCTTGCCCACCACTTATCAGGATTGAGTGAAGATAATCATTCAGTAGGCTACAGAGTGCTCCAGGACTTAAGACTGCATCATTCACAAGAGCAACAGGACAGTATGCCAAACTACCTAGTGATAAATATGAAGGTCACCAAGTCCTCCTGTTTAAAACTGGCTTTCTACACTTTACTAAGCAGTGTCTAGATAAACAAATATGAGAAATGTAATTGGCACTGTTAAATAATCATGAATTGAAGTTCTTAACTTCACCAACAGAAATTGAATTCTTAGTAGGATTAAATTGTTTAATTCTGCAACATTTTCAAATACAGTTATTACTGTGCAAAGGAATACTTTCCAATTCATGGAGTCCTAAAATACTGCAGTGAGTAAAAATGAAGCACTATTTTTTCTGAAAGGTAACAACATTACTATTTTCATTGCTAATCAATAAAAATCTAAGTAAAGGTTTGTAAGCATGCTTTCTAGTCACATCTTAACTATCCAACATCACTAGAAATCTTCAACACTGGAAGCTGTAACTCCTCTAAGTCTGCTAATACTACATACATCCTAGAAAAGATATTTGCACTGCTATCTTAAAAATGTACAAGCCTTGCTACAAGTATAGTGAATGTTCATGACAAAAACAATGTTGTACAAAGGGATGATAGTTTTAAAAAACTCAAACATTAAGCTGGCCAACAAAAAAGCCTTTCAGTTATAATAAAACCACATTAATTGGAGCCGATCGTACCAATGTCTGGTCAAAAACTGTATACTTTCCCAATCCATCCCATGATGTTTTCCTGGTCCCCCGCTGCCGCAGACAGTTCAGCTGGTGTTGCTCACCAAGGCCAATGTCAAAGAGAATTTGGAATTCTTTGGAGCTCATTTTTTTAAGCAACTGTTTATGTTGTTGTGTTTGAGAAGAGTTTTATGCTTGGCTGAGCAAGGGTATGCCTATCACTTAACATACTCTAATCCTAAATTACACTACACTAAATTACACTCCCTACATTAGAAGAGCACTGGGTGCTATGACTATGTGTTTGGACACTTCTAGGAAATAAGGAGTTCTAATAAGGCAAAGAACACCATAATTATCAATGACTAATTGATAATTAGTCTTCAACATATTTTATTATATCCTCAATAATGCAAGTTTCCTAATGACCTTAGCTTAGCATACTTCCATAAAACCACATTACAAAAGCAGCATTCCTGTATTTCTCATAATCTGTGTGGTTACAATCTATTGGATAACCCCAAGCTATCTGCTAAGTGAAGAAGTGCTATCTTACCTGATTAAGCCATTAAACTGTTAGCAATCCTGACTATCATTCAGAATTTTACTGTACTATATCAATCCAGCTTTCCACAACCTGGTACCCTCTAATAATGTTGGACTACAACCTCCGTCTTCCCCATAGTGCCTGAGGTTGACAGCAATTCTAGCCGAGCACATCTGGAGAATGCTAGGTTGGAAAAGTATGGGTCAATCTCCCTGTTCACCTGCTAAAATAAATTTCACATATAGTCCATTTAATTCTTTGTCTCGAATGAAGCATCAGCTTTAAAAGAGACAGCAAACACCAACATTTTCACTTCAAGCCTAGGTGGTATAAGTCAACCATTGCTCAGTCAAGCCTAAACTTTTCCTCAACATCACACTTTGTGTAAAATTCCAAAGGGGATATTTGCTATATTTAGATCAGTAATAATAAAGAAAAACATGTACCTTTCTGTTGGGATAACCACTTTGACTATGGCTTGCGACAGAGTCTGTATATGAAGTCACATCAGATAATAAACATAGAATATGTGAGTATTGTTAACAAGTAACAAGCAAAAAATACATTTGCATTGAAAATACTACACATCTATCACAAGTTTTGCAGGCAATCACTGCTGCGAAGTTATACACTACTCAATTACATTAAGTGCAAATGGCTGTGTGAAGTGAACCCAGAAGGTTCACTAATTTCAAAGTACAAGAACATTCCTAACAGAATGCACATCAATGCACTGAATAGGTACTATACTGATAATAATGGCTCCATTCCAAGGAGCAGACAGTAAGATCTGTGTGTACAGCAGGGCTTTTACTTTTTTAAACAGATGTTCCCCTCTCCTGCATCAGCAGCTGTTTCCAAATGCTGCCTGAATTTTGAAAATAGCTTCCCACTGCAGCAAGAAAAAGCTGTTTGGAGAAAGCAAAACTCTGCTGTGTCCAGACAAGCCCACTGTATGCATAGGAAGGGACTTGCTCAATGGAGGCCTTTTTTTTTTAAACTTATTTCCTTCTATTTACTGCTTTGGCCCTGTGCAAGCTAACGTTCATAATTGTTTAACCATTCTTAAGTGATCAGGCTGTGGGATTACGTGCTCCTACTCTCCACCCCACTGCATTCTAGAGACTGAATTCACCCAACCTACACTGTGGGTTTTAACCACATTTAAGTATTACATCTGCAGTAATACTGACTACAGCTAAGGCTAACCACAGCTCTCGCTTAACCAGGATTTGAACCCAGTTTGGCCCCCTGATTTCAGAGCCTGCTTATAGCAAGAGTCCCTGGGCAGCCTTAACAATAACTAACATCACTACCAATGCAAAACTTAACCATGGTTAAGGCCAGCAGTAATAATCTACACTCCAGAAAAGGAAGGAGGAGGGAGTACGCAATCTGGCAGCTTGCTCCCACTTCAATCAGAAGAGTTACATTTGCACTGATCCTTAGTTCCCAAGCCTAAGAAACCTTACAAAGTATTAAATTCAATGTGCCTTGTCACTTGTGTTTAAAAGATACTTACCATGCATTGGTATGCTAGAATCTAATATCCTTTTAAATACCCTAACATCCTCAACTATTGACCTGATGGCTGAAAAAACTTTTTACACAGAAATAATTTGTGAGCCAATTTATCTGCCTGAGTTTAAAATTTTGCCTTTAAAAAGGAAATAATTTAGATACTGGAAATCGGGCAGCTAACAAAAGGGGGACATAGGAGAAAAAAACCCAGGGAGTGTGGAGGGGGAAAAAACACATGGTGGCCAGATCTAAAAATGCAATTAACAACAAGGCCCAATTCTGTGGCCTAAACATACCAAGGTATGACCTCAGAAATGAGGCTCCTTAAACTAAGGCAGGGAACAATTCAGCGTATCTAAGAACTGGTAGTGCAATTCTATAAGACAATTTAAAAGACTACCATAGATTTAGCATTTTATAAGGTGAGGTATGGCCCTGGGTAACTTTTTACCTTCTCAAAATCCTCCTTGTTTTTTGGTGGTGGCAACATAGGAGCATTAGGATTTTTCAACCTCTCTCTGGGCTGAGCATTAAATGGTAGTCCTGAAGGTGGTGGCGGGAGAGTATGTTCCATCATTGAAGGAGGAATGTATATAGGATGTGGAGGAATAGGAACAGCTTTGCCCCAGCCAAGTTTCATTTCAAAAGACATGATCATCTTGCCTAGAAAATGAGAGTGCATCAGTTTAGGAGTATGCAAACCAACAGAACTATCGGTATTTTAACAAAAACAGCATTCATATTTAAGCTCACTGGTAAAAGGAAAACAAAGCATTTTTGTTTAGGCATACTGTGTACATCCTATAATACATTCTGCACTGCATGCTTGAAAGGCCATTCCTTCCCATAATATTTTGCTACTGAGATGTAGCACTGTAAAACATTCTACATGACTAGAATGATTAAATTTCAGACAATGCATACTTAATCATTCTAAGTGAGCAGGTTTTGAAATCTTGTTACAACTTCTGAACTGAGTATTGAATAATTTCCTCTGAGGAATAAATTTTCTGAAACACAACAGGATATATGAAAACCAGTTAAACAATGAGCATGTTCAAACAATTATGATGGAACAGCAAGCCCCATAGCTTCTTTTCCCTTCTCACACATACCAGTCACTAGCTGCTTATTCCCAAGTTCAGGCTGTTACTATGTCCAAGCCAGTGCGGATGGACGGCTGTAGTGATTAGAAACCACTTTGAAACCTATGACTTGTTCTAGGGTAGCTGGGTGGTTAGAAAGCACCCCAGTAAGCCTCACTGGATTCAGGCAGCACAACAACCTGAAGAGGACTGGGAATATGTCAGTTTCTGCACAAATCCTATCTATGCAAATCATGACTAGTCCCAGAATATTCACCCATATGGCATTTTCAACCAACACAACACTGAACTGCATACCCACCATTTCAATATTGAGAAACAACTCAAAACAGCCCTTTATTAAGACTACAAGGCTCTACGTAGAAACCCAATTCATTTTTGTAGAATACTAGTATGTTTACATATAGAAACTTGTTTAGCATCACAGAATACTCCAGTTGGTCTTACTGGCCTCTTCCATCAGGTTGAAACCCCTGCTCAACGGCCTTCCCTTGAGCAACTTGAAAAGCATTTTAATGCTATTTCCCTTTGATTAGTTTGCACTAGTCAGCCTTTCCCTTTGATTATTTTGCACCTACATGAGGGAAAAATTATTTCCACCAAGAAATTTCCCTCTCTTTGTCTTAGTTATACCCAAGTGGTCTCAAAACAAGTTTTCTTCTTTAAATTTAGGAAGAGGCCTTTAGGAAGCCTCTTGAAAAAAATCAAGAACACCTCACAGAAAAGATGAACTGCTTCTCCTCATACCAATAATCCCCACACAAAAAATATACTGCTTCTCCCAATTCTCTTTCCAAGATGAGTTACAGTTATCTTAAATCTTCTAGTACCATTTAAATTCTTTAGTGCACGTTCCGCATCTCTCCTGTTCATGAAGGCAACAAATCCACAATTCCTCTCTCTTGCTCTTTCTTCATCAGTTCTTGGCCACATAATTTTGACACTTGCTAGAGGTCCAAAGCGTCCAAATTCTTGACATAACATCTCTTCATTCATCTATTAGAAATAGGAGCAAACCTGGATGAGGTATTTCTCATAGTTAAAGAAGCATTTCCCTTAGCTTATGGAAGCAAACAGCTGAGGGACTGATTGAAAGAAACGTGCGTACTCCAGCAAATAGGGCTGAAGATAGCATGCTTTGATTCAAATCACTATTCAACCATTGATTTGTAGGATACTTTCATACAAATTACTATCTGAAATTGTAGATGAAAAATGAGAATACTAATGTCTCATGAATGCTGAGCAAAAATATTTATATACTTAAGTGTTGCCTTAAATATTCAGAATACTACTTGCACTCTGTATCTATAAGGACAGGCAAGACTGCTCTATTTTTTAATAACTGTAATTATTACCTGGGGATTAATGTTTCCAAGGTACAAATTTGTTGTACTAGGATCTCCTACATCATGTGAACCTGGAGCATAGTCATCCAGTACTAAAACAAAGAAAACACGATGTAATCCAGAGCATACATTTTAAAATAATAAAATGTTGATTAAATAGTTATGAAACTAAACTACCACCTGAAGATCTGTTTCTTCTTGAAGGCGCATCCACTGAGGGAAAGACAAGATGCTTATTAAGTTCCAAATTTTTGTGTAATGAAAATATCATAATAAAATAAAGGCTACTTACTGGAACGGCGCTGGCCATCTGAATCTGATTGAGGGGGCTCAAAACGACTCAATCTACCTTTGGTTTTATGCCTTTCATCGCGTTCTTCTTGAATTCTATAGAAGGTATGTTATAAAACTGGTAACTAGCAATAATCCTAGATGACCATAGTTAAATAGCTTTTAAAAAACTGACAGGAATACTCATTTTAAGCAATCATATTTTATTAAAGGATACAACCTTAAAACCTGAACATAGTATGGGACAAATCTTCAATGCTCATATTGCCATATTAGATTAACCACAGTACAGGTCAACTTTAAAGAAACAGAACTTCAGCACTCATTGTGCAGGTTTCCTCTTATATGGAACATGAAAGTATCTAATGTGGGTTGTTTCCTCCTATTGCTCAAAAGGAAGAAGTTATATGACCAAAAAATTTTATTAGTCTTCCCCACTGGCACCTCCTTCAATTGTAGCAGAAAAATACCTCATATGTTTTCTCAATGGTAAAGGAAGAAAATCAGGTAGTGATGAACACTGATCTAATAATACTATGCAGAATGCGAGTGTCTGTCCGGTGGATGTGTCAGCTGTAGTCATGACTCTGCAATAGTGATCCAATTTGAGGGTGGGAATCTGTCACATTTCCTCAGCTCAGCTCCCTGAACTCTGTGGCCCAAGTCCACCTCACGCTGAGCATTTGCATGGGTGTTCAGCAGGAAGCAAGTCTGTGAGGCCAGCTTGACACTGCCTGCACACTCACTGTGCAAGTGCAATTCTGCTTGCACACATGCAATTTGTGGGGTTTGTATACTTTGTGTTAAGAACTGCATACTTTTCAAACTTAAGCAAAGCATCCATTAGTGTTCTTCTCAAGCATTTGCAGACTTCATCTCAGCTCAACTTGCTTCCTGGCCAGGGCTAAGCACAGGAAACAAGTCCAGTGAGTGCAAGAGAACCAGATCCTAGCCTGATCTTTGCATGCCTACCCTGAAGTCCAACAGTGGAACCAACAGATGGAGTACCAGGCAGAAGTACCACTGCAAGACCCTGACCCCATGATGGAGAACACCACAGCCAAAAACCTTCAAGTAACTGGAGCCCACCATCAATGAATTCGCCCACCTCTAATGGAACAAGTGTACACCTCTAACAGGCAGTGTACCTGACATGAGTTCCCAGTCAGAGCCCTAACCATTTAAGGTTTTCTACCTTGCAAGGAAGGGGTGCAGTCTGAAAGGCAACTCTGGTTCACAGCATAAAAGGTTTCATTCTATTTTCAGACTTTGTTGGAACAAATCGCTCACTAGGAACTCTCCTTGGTGCTGCAATACTGCTCTGCCATGCTCTGCTGTGCCTTATACATTTCCCCAAGGGTATTAGATACTACCACAAGCCAAGCAAGAATGAGCCCATTTTCCTATTTAGCAAAGGAGGTAACCAATATGCAATTTGTTGCTAGTTGCAAAGTCGTGTCCGACCCATCAGGATCCCATGGACAACAATCCTCCAGGTCTTCCTGTCCTCCACCATCCCCCGGAGTCCACTTAAGCTCACAGGAATATGCAATACCTATGTAGAATTTGTTTGTTATAAACTGTCCCAAGACACCAGTAGGATGGTCTATAAAAGCTTTAAATAAATAATTTTGAGGGTGGCCCCTCCTGCAACAAAGAATGGAAAAAAATACTCAAAGGTGACCTTGGCAGGTTATAAGTATTTTTAATAGCATTTCTGGGGAATGCTTACTAAGGATCATATGGCTGCTTGACATATCTCAGCTATGAGTGCACTTCTGGTTGATGCGGCTGAAGGAGCAGCTGCCCTGGTGGAATCGAGTGTTATGAGCACAACTGCAATCTGGTGTTAATGCTCTGGTAACAGAAGCTTTTCTCCAACACGTGGAGATTCTGTTCTACAGAGATGGAAACAAAAAATACTGCTACTAGGAAAGGAAACAAACCTGGTTATAATATTCATTCTTTATTAGTAAGAAGTGGGGAGGAACAACACAAAACAGTGGATTTCAAAGTACCACAGCAGTGGGACCGGTATGGAAATACTAGGATGACTGCGGCTTGCTCCACATGAAAATTACACTAGACCCTGGAAATTAGCTGCAAAGAGAAAATGTAACTGAAAGATGGTTCAATGACAATATGGCTGTTTCTGCTCCTACTGTCAGCCATCAAGAAAAACCTCTTGGCATTGTGCTTCACAGGTGAGGCAAGAATGCCAAATTAATACCAAGTATCAAGAATGCCAAATTAATTTCTGCATCACTGCAAATGTGATGCGACCCAGACTCCATCCACTTGACTCAAAGGTCTGGTGGCTATGCCAGTCTCCATGTTTAGCCTCCCTATGGTGTTGCTTGGTCCTCCTGCAGTGTCATGTAGATTGTTTGCAGCCACATTACTAAAGCTATTGTTTCTTTGCAGTAAAACCCAGACCTAGTACTGCCTGTGCATGCTTTGGTGGAGCTATTGTTTACTATTATTAGGACGTATGTCTGACTGAATGACCATAGGGATTGCAAAGATTTCCAGTCTGTTTAAGTACTTATTCTGACCATGGTCCATCCAGCCATGCCAGTGTGTTCTATATCCAAGGAGACTGGCATCTGAGGGTATTATTTTTCAGAAGGGGTCTTGGAAGGGTCACAATATCTCCTGAGGTGATGCTGTGGTGCCCCACAGTCAGGTTCTCCTTTTAATGTTGTTAACAAGGAAGACTTTGAAGTGCTGCTCTGAGCTACATCTTTTTGAAAAGGCATCAGTTACTATAAAGGACAGAGATTATCCTTTATCCAAGGCATATCAGGTCCCATTGTTCTGTAGGACCAGAGGAGCTTGGCTGTTTGTTGGATCTTTAAGATTACCAACAGAGAGAAAGAAATAAGTCCCAGGGCTATGTACTGGAAATCTGGGCCTGCTCCATGATGGCTTTCTGCTCCTAAATTTTCTGGTTCAAAAACTGGTTCTTTGTCAACAAAAGGAAGGGAGGGAACTTCTAGGCTACATCTATCATATCTCTTGAAAAGAAGGGATATCACACTTATCCATTGTTTTCTCTAAAAAGATGGGATTCCTTTGAAGAAAACCATGGCAAGGTTAGTCAGTCCGGAAAGATATGTCCAAGCTTTACAGCTTAAAGTGAGTAACATTTTTGCTAAAAAATATTCTTGGAAGGATAAGTTTCATGAAGCTTAGATGGTTCTTTTGTGCCACCTGGTGGTAAAAGCAAGACATGGTTTTCACTTGTTTCACAGATTATGGTGTCACATTAAGGTAGGCTGTTTTAAGACACAAGATTTTGGGGGAAAAATGTATTAGTCCTTATTTAAATATTTACAGATGGAGCCTTTTGTGATTTAACTCTGTCATTTGAGGGCACTGGAAAAAGCACAGCTTTCTGAGGGGCCCTACTTCTAGAAAAAAGATGTTTCCTGGGTGCTATAGACACTGAATCCTGTAGGCACACTATTATAGAGGAGATATGAACAGTTCATTCATAAACATTTTGAAGACTTTTTTTAAAATTTGCCTGAAAAGCAGTGTTTTTTCCCTTTCTGTAGAAAGTTCCTTTGGGAAAGAATGTGATAAATTAAAGAGGGGCCTTCAGAGGAACAGAAATCCTCAAAGAAGACCTCAACAGTCCAGATATTCCTGGTAAATTATTGCTTCATCAGCATTTTATTCAAAAAACATTTGAACAATCAAGAGAGCTCCACTAGACAACAATGCCCTTTTCTACTATCTGGTGGCTGAAGCAAGAAATGCTTTCCCTTTCTTTCATAGGCCATGGTGCCACCAAGTTTACACATAACTGCTAACTGTGGGGTAAGAATCCCTAATTTGCTCCGGGCACAGCACAGCACACAACTGGACTGTCTCCAGGCCACTGTCATCTTGGAAAGAATGCAGGAATACTCACTCCTGGGTAGTTATCATGATGCAAAAATACAGCACTGTGGGTTGTTAGGATTAAACACATTTTTAATCCACATTTTGATTTAAATTCTCAATTGTTTAATCCTAAACAACACTGAGTGTCATGCTCATACATGCCAACAACCCAAGAATGGGGTATTCCTGAATTGTTTCAAAAGTGGAAGGAAGAACCACTAGTACACTCACTTCTGCATGCTCACAGAGAACCCATATTTCTTAACCATGATCATGGAAACTGGTATCAGAGTCTGAAAGTTTGGGCATCCTCTGGAAATGGCAGCCTCTCTGCAGAGTCCTTCCAGGGATACAGGAATCTACTCATCAGGACCTATGCATATATTGTTTACACTTGTGTACAGGTAACTCACACCGGGAATTTCCCTTACAACTATAGAAAAGTTACAGCTTGCTTCTTGATTATTCTAATGTGTGTACTCTGTGGTTATCATGCCTGAAGGAGAAATGTTTCTCCACTGAGACAGTCATATATTGCAGGAGAGGAAGAAACCCTACAGAGCATTGAGAGAGGAAAAGATGCAAGGTAAATGGATCAAATAAAAAAACAAGTATGAGGTTCTGAGAGGGAAGGGAAATGTAGATGTGAGTGACTGAATTAAGCAGAAGCACTGAGGAACTTCTACTCTGAAGGAAAGGAGGAAATAAACCAAGAAAGACTTCAGTAAGTGGAGAGAATAGTAAATGAACCTAGATCATGATTTCTAAATTCTAGGCAATAAGAGATGCTTCATACATGTTCTCATTCCTATTAAAAATGTAATTTTTAAAAAAGAATTACCCAGTTATTTCAACATCAGAAATGTAATATAAGGACATGGTTTTGGATCCTAAGGTAAGTTAACTTATATTGTAAGCCTTGCCCAGAAATAAGTCTTACTGAACAATGTGGTACTTACTTCTGAGTAACTGTTCCTAAGATTACTTTGTCAAGGAAATTTGTGGAAAAGAAGCTTCCTCCCTGCTGTGAAAAGGCTCTTCAGGAGCTCCCCTTTAAGCCATGCAGAACTGGGCAAGAAAATGTTCTTCATGACCTACCCCAAGCATTCTTCTTATAATTCAATGCATACTGACTATATTTGTGTGTGTATCCTGACTATAGGGTCCACTGACTTCAGAACAGGGTGCACCAATTTTAGGACTAGCATCTGCTACACTTTTTCAGGAGTTCCCTTTTGTTTGTACCACAACACCAAATTTGAACTCAAAATGCACAGAAAGCTATTCACACTGCTCCATAAGAACTTCATTACTGATTGGATGTTCTAGGTCTAGAAGTGTAATCAGGATGCAGAACTTCAACATGCATATAATGAATGCCTTGTCTAAATATCTAGATTCTTTTGCTTCTGAATCCTACCATCCCTTATTTGTCTTAAGAATTTTATGGGGCAAGCTCAATCTCTCAAAAACATCAACGCATAATATAGGCATTAATGCACATTTAATTTCTAGCTACTAGGCATTAAATCTTCAGTAAGTTGTTTTGGCTACTTAGTATATTTTTAATTTGTTATTTTATTAGTAACTTTTGCAAAATCTCAAGTTATTTCTATTAATGTACTAGTCAATGTATATTTAGGCTTGAGTTACGAGTCACTGGGTAGTATAATCTAATTGGCTTTATTTCTACTGTATTAGAAAAGTTTTCATGCAGCATTTTACTGTCCTTTTAATGACAGTATTTTCTATTTCAATGTAGTATATTATTGTTTGTTCCCTGAGCCACCCAAAGAATGTAATCAACAACTTCAAAAGCCATTCCAACAGCAGGTTGCATTCAGGCCTACTGAAATCATTGGGGCAGATTAGTAATAACTAAATTCTCATTGGGATTAATGGAACTTGAGTTCACTGAACATTAGGAAACAAATCAAATAAAAGTTACAGAGACAATTCAAAATTTCACCAGTGGCACTTTTGTCCCCTTAACGTATACCAACCAGTGATTTCAAAACTTTACTGTTTTGTGTTTATAAACCTTTCTGAAATTTGCTTCAAAACTTCAGTGCAAGTGATTGATGGCAGCTCTATTACACAGTTCATTATAGTGACAAAATATCTTAAGAACCCAAGAAAAGTTTGCATTTGATCCCCAATTTGATATAGTGCACATTGTCTTCAGTCTAACCATTTAAATACACTTTAAAGATGTTTCTATACAACTGATCTAGTCCAAGATTCAACTAGAAGATTCAGCAGAACCACCATATCCACTGACTTAGCAACCACATTCTTCCTTAACCACAACTGGAGTCTGACATTTCCATGTGGCCTTGCTGAGGACTACAGCATACACATTGGGTGGTAAGAGTGAGGAAGCCAGCAGTAGCAGCTCCTACATGGGGCAGTGGGGGACAAGCACCTGGGAAGAGGCTTGTGGTTGGGGGTGTGAGAGAAGAGGGATGAGCTGAAGCTCCATCCTGGCTGATAAGCAGAGATTTGGAAGCAGCAGGGTAGTGGGCATGTTCCCAGCCCTTCTGATGCAGCTCGTACTTTCTAGGCTTGTGGTGCAATGTCTTATTGTGCCCAATTTATAAAATAAACCTTAGCACAGGTATGTACAGCTAATTTTTCCAGCTAATTATAGACCTAGTTCAGATGACATGACAGCTCATAAGGAGTTAACTTCACCATGAGGGTTCATGTGCACTGACATCCATTATGAGGATGCAATTGCCAACCCCAAATCATGTCATGTGTGTGCAATGGGGGGGGGGGGGGGTTTCCAGGGGTTAAACAGCCCTCACATAACTCTAGAACAGAAGGTGGGTCTTGCATATACATAATGGTGGCTGGCCATGGCCCCTCCAGGGTTCATTAGCTCACAATCTGCTGTTGCGTTGCCTGAACTGGCTTAATGTCTTTCAAAGTTTTTTACATCAATAAAATAGACACAGATCCTATCATCAGGCATACAAACTAAAATGGCTTTATACATAGGGAAAGGAAAGTAGAGGGAAAAGTGAGACGATCTCTTCAAGGTGGTGAGCTACAAATGTGAAAGTAAATGCACTTCAGGTGTTAGTCTAAACAGAATAAAATACTTACTGTTTCAATTCTTCTTTAAAAAGCTCCAAATTGCTCTTTTTCTTTTCTTTTTCCCCCTTTTTCAAAGGCTAAAAACATAAAGAATACTTATATATATTGGCTGTGGAGCACTATACAGACAGACAGACAGACAGATGGACGGATGGACAGACAGACGATTTTAGGCTGACAGCACCAGTGCCATCCACCACTTGCAGTCCAAGTTTAAGACAAACACAGCAGCCATGTGATAACCCTAAGACTTGCTGCAGTCAAAGAAAGATGACCTAAAATTAATAGAAGAAGCAGTCTATACATATATAAGTAGGACAATTCAGTTTTTTAAAAGGGTAGCAACAAACATCTGAAAAAAATCTCAACTTACTGGTTTTTTGGTTTCTATAACCAGAAGGGATGGAGGCCTCTCATTAGAGGATGACTGATTCTGCTGACTTTTTTGATCTGCAAATCGTGATGAAGGTTTGTAGATTTTTCCTCGTTTTTCATCTGTTTCATGCTCTTCTGAAGGATGGACCAGTAGTTACTGAATAGTCTAACTTGACTGCACTAGCAACAATCCAAAAAGCTACCTGAAGCACACACTGTTTTGGCTATGCTTATTCTCCCTCTCACTTCCCCAAATCACTTTAAACAGAAGCCACTCCAATGCCTTATTCACAAACTACTTCCAAAACTTGCCTCTGTTTTGAAGTACAATTGCCAGGCTGCATGGACTTGAAAGGGTGCCGCTGCTAAAGAACCCACCCCCTTCAGGGACACACAAAACAACCAACATCATATTTTGCATCCATCCCATTCTACTGATACTTCCTCAGCAAAACACATGGTATAAAGTTACTTAATTGGAAATGCAAGCCATGTGACAAGATGTAGCACTATTATATTCAAGCTGAAAGACAAAACTGAAAATATCTTTTTCAGCACAGCACTTTAATACATGGGCATCTAGAGTACCAAGTTAACAATGCAATAGCAGCTATTATTACATGTACCAGAAGGTAAAATTTTAGGACAGAGCAAAATATAAGGACTTTTAAACAATGCAAAGGAAGATGAATATGCTTTTTTCTTGATAACATTGTAGTCAACCTTACCTTTAGAAGCATTAACAATTCCTCCTCTGACAAACGTCTTCACTTTATTGCCATCACTTCCTTCAAATGCAGCAAGGAACTCTTCATAAATTTCTGCTGCCGCCTTTTCATCTTCCTACACTCACCAAAATGTTAAGCAGGTGACTAGCATTAGCCAGACATTTTTTCACACTCATGCTATCCTAAACTCCAAACAATTGCATGGGGTAAACATTCTCATTTTTGCCACTCGTGTATTTTCCCCCCAAAGACTCTTTTCATTTCAAAAATGCATTGTTTCATAAATGTAAGTTAATAACACTGAATCCACAAAGAGAGCTGGTAATTTTCACCAACTCCCTCCCTTATATATAGCACCCCACAATACAGTCTTCAACATTCCTAAGGTTCTCCAAAATCTAATGAGGAGACTCTTGGGAGTGCAGGAGAGTGCAGCGGAAAGAAAAAGATGTCTAAAATTCTGTTAAGATCCACAGTGAATAGATACTATGTCAGTTAAACCACATAGCTTCAAAGGTGCAGTTTACGCTTTCAGAAAAGTATTGCTAGAATGTATTATGACATGTAATGCACAGTTCTTCTGACGTGCTCACATTAGTATGTTAACAATTTCCAGTGCCTTCATTGTAAAGAATGGTATGCTATTGAATTGTTATATCTTGAAATATTAAAAAAAATTCCAATAAGCATTATGTGCAAATAAAGTTTTGAATCTGCCTGATAACACTGGACTAACATTAAGTACACTTAATGCTATTACTGTTTTTTCCTATTCCTAAATCCAACCTTTTCACTTTATTTACTTCCAGTTATTGAAAAACTTTTTGATATATTTGTTCAACATAAGATATTATCATGCTGTACTTAGTTAACTAAATGTAAACCAAAACACCCCAAAAACCTCCATCACTGACTACTAGAACAGGCCATTTTCCCTTTCCAGCAAGACAAAACATGGCTGTGGCATAGTCCAGTTCTAGATTTCTTGGGCAGTGATGACCCAACCACAGGCATTCAGGAATACCATCTAAGAAAGTATATGTAATTCCATGCAGGTGAGTGGGTGGGCTGTCCGGAAAAAAAGAAGTGCTCCCCTCTCCCCTACACCCATCATAAAAAACAAGCAAGCAATTCCCTTGCATACCCAACAGGGAATGCAGCTCTCTGCTCCCTTCTGCCAGCCCCCAGCAAACTAGTAAAAATATTTGCAGGCTAGTAACATATTTGCAGGCTCATTTACAAGGTGGTTTAAGTGGCAATAATCTGTGAGGAACAGCAGTAAGCAGCATACTTCCAGCTGATTAAATAAATGAGTTTCCTACAGCATTACCTTCTTTTTCAACTCCTCCTGTTCCTTCTTGCTTAAGGTTCTCTTCGCAGCACTCATTTTGCCAATACTGAATGCTTTAAGTTTGCTTTCTAAAAGTGGCTGCAAGACAGAAATTATCAGAACATTACAGGAATGCAGTATCCCACACGGTCTGACACAACAGTCTTTTGACAGATGACAAGAATATTGCTCATTTAAACTATCCAGAAACTAGATGCTATTGGTGGGTTGTTCCTCTGATTGGACAGAGGGTGCTCAACTTGTTGTTCTGTACAGACTTGAAATTTCCTTTGAGGCAGGTTCATAATCTGGGGATGGTTCTTAATTCATTGGAGAGCCAGTGCGGTGCTAGAGCGTTGGGACTGAGAATCTGAGTGATCTAGGTTCTTGTTCCCACTCAGTCATGAAGCTCACTGGGTGACCTTGGGCCAGTCATTCACTCAACCAGACCTACTTCACAGGGTTGTTGTCAGGCAGGTAGAACAGAGCTATGTAACCCACCTTGGGTTTGTCACAAAAGGAAAAAACATGGGATATAAATATAATGTGATGATGATGATGATATTTCACCTGAGGTGCAGGTTGCTTCAGTTGCACAGAATGCTGTCAGTTTCAGCTGGTGGCCTAGCTATGCCACTCTATAAACGGTGGTAGTCTAGTTTCACTAATCTATACTCAGATAATCTCTAAACTAGATTGCTGCATTGTGCCCTGTGCAGACCTGTCCCTGAATGCTGTTCAGAAGCTGAAGGTGGTGCAACTTGTGAAAGCTGGACTAATAACTAGGACCAGAAGGTTTGACATACGTTTAACACCAATTCTGGCATGCTTGCATTATCTGCCTATGTGCTTCTGAGTCTGTTTGAAGAGGCTGGAGTTACTATATAAAGTCTTACATGACTTCAGATCAACATACCTGATGGTACATCTCTTTCAACTGCAAACTTCCCACACGCTACAGTCAACCAAAAGCCACCTCCAAAGGAGGCTCAGGTGCTGGTAACAAAGATGATAAATGTTTCTGCAGTAGCCAACAATTTATGGAATTATCTTTCCACCTGACACTAACTTTACAATCTTTTCAGTCCCAAGGTTAAAACTCCCTCTTTGCCAAGGCATTTAGTTCTTCCAAAAGCTACAGGGAAGGGGGGGGGGGGGGCAGAGTGTTTTCAGTTGTATTTAGCAGACCTGGAAGCACGGACTCGCCTTAGTTGTTAACTTGTTAGTTAGAATTTTTAGTTTAATTTTATGATTACCTAGTATTTTATTTTGTCTTTTATTAACTGTTGTACACTGCCCAGAAAGTTTCAACTACAGGAGTGATATACAAATATGGGGGTAATATACAAATTAAACAAACAGGCTTCACAGGCACATACAAACATTTTGTACATATGAAATAAAAGAAACAATGCACAAGAAAGCCATCTGTCATTCAATCTTAAAAAAAAGTTATTAGCAGGTCTGTTAAACAGGCAGAGTATCACATTGGCACCAACTATAAAGCCCTAGGAGTTCCACCTGAAAAAACAATTCAGAATTCTAATGATTACCTAAGAAACTTCACACTATCTAAACTGAGGAGATATCAAATGCCTATTTCAATATAAACCTCTCAGAATGTTACAATCCTCAAGGAAGTCCTAATCCAAATATTATCTGCCAGGAAAACTCAATCCTGCCAACAAGGTAAACAATGGCTTAATTTGGATGTCACTAGCTTGAGTTCTATGGAACAAGCAAGCTGCACAATCACTCAACCTACAAAGGAGAGCAGTCATTCCTTTGTTGCTCAGGCTGACATACAAACCAGGAATTCTGGTTTGTCGGAGGAGAGGTAAGCTGGAATTTAATTTTGGGTCACTCCCAACATTTCATTTTTTCTTAACTTGGGTAGTTGTGACATCTGAACCATGCTAATCAAATAAAAGACATCACAAAGTATAAGCAACATGCAAAAAGCTACAGGAAAAATGGACCAAGGTAAACTCTACATAGAGCTATAAGTCATTTCTTAATACACAATAGCTCAATTATAACCATACATGAAAACAGTCCAGAAGAGCAAAGTTTTTATTAGATTTTTGCATACATGCGTTCTGAGTCTTACATGAGTTTCTGGAGATCCAGTGGCACGTGTTGTGTCTGGGATCCTGGCCTAAAACCAATAAAAATACAAGAAGCATTTTAAGGGGACATTTATTGATTCTGAACATCATACACTGTAAGCATAAGAACGTCTTTTCCAGATTGCCTTCACTTATAACTCAATATACATAGGATTGAAATTTTAAGCATATTTAGAGAAATCCAGTAATCTTGCCTTAAAATATAAAATTAGCATAAAACCTATTCATGCTAAAATTAGCATAAAACCTAGGGATAGCTAAGAGAGAAGGAGTCAAATGAAGAACTTTTGAAAAGGATGCAATATCCTGCTTGTTAAGTTTGGTAATTATGAAACATGCTGGAATTGTACTTCCAATGAACTCAGCCAATTGTATAAAGCATAAAAGAGAAAGTGTTACTATTAAAGCATACTGAGCATCAATTCTATTCTAGTTTGTTCCCCATCTTTGGGACCAACACCGAGTTTCAGAGTACTAATGACCAATCAAAGCAAACCTTGACCTTCTGTCTTTGTAATCTTCTATTTACATTGCTAAGGTGTGTGTTCTAACCAATTCAAGAACTCCTTTTAGATGGTGTTAGACTCCTGTTCCTATCAGTGCCAGATAGTATAACCAACTGCTGAGGATTATGGGAGCTGTATAACAACACTCGCTATCAATTAGTCATAGTCAACAGATAAAGATGCCAATTGACAGCAATCCCAGCTCACCATTTTCTTCCAAAGGGCTTTTATATTTCTAAAATAGATTTGACATAGCACTAATTAATCTAAGGCTGAAAAGAAATAATTTTATTATTTACTATAGTGATTCATAATTAGCAGTTTTCAGTTAAGTACTAGCAAGTTCTTGTTCCAGACCTTTAACTGCACAAAGCTGTCACCATGAAGGAACCTTGATATGATCCTTGCTCTATCACTCCATCAAGTATTTTCAGCTACTGTTCTGAAGTTGCTTTTCCTATAGCAGCATGGGATAATAATTTAGATCAAGTCCAGTGTGATCCCTCCAGATGCCTTAAACTTCAACTTCTATGTTGGAAAGGGTGTTTTCTACTTCACAGCTATATAATTTATATAATATCCTCTATAATAATAAACATAGCCGAATGTAATGGCTTGAGAGACAGTTTTTTCCTCATTTCCACACCCAAAACACAGTCCTTAGGTCCTTGAAAGAAGCTATGGACACACTATTTTATTACAGAATTTCAGTCACTTCCTACCTGGTACTATTTTCATTCACTTTTTGGAAAGAAATAAAAATTTAAAAGGCTGAGATAAAAGTACCTGCTTAGACTCACACAAGACGACCTCAGGAAATTTGGCTTCTTCTTCAATGTGAATAGACCTGTTTCATATTACAGCTGACCACTGATTAATTTATACATGAGGAGCTGTAGTACATGCAGGCTGCCATTATAAACATGTCACCCTGACCAGGGGTACCATGGCTTACCATGTCATCCAAACCCCTGCAGTAGTGGTTATTTCAAGGTTAAATAAATATTGCAAAACCCTAAAACTGACAGCAGGCCCTGCAATGATTGCTTATCCCTCAAAGAACCACTGCAGTCAAGTCTGGATGATACAAGTCACAGCAATCACTGCTCAGGAACAGCATATTCCTAGCGGCAGCTGGCTTGCATGGTAGTTCCCCATGGGAAAATTAAGGGTATATGTCTCATTTTATATGAGCTCATACTGTTTTTGAAACTACCTACTGTGTAAGAAAAAAGTGTTAAATATACCAACCCACCAGACTCAGGAAACTAGTTTCATGCTCTATTAGATTCTCACCCCAAATTTCCATAGCAGTTGAAATCTATTTTACCTTATTATGATAATGTTTTAAAGAATAGTTCAATAAATAGCATAACTCTCAGTGATTTTAACATGTTAGTGATAAACCATGTAATACTTAATGGGATTTAAACAGAAATCTTCCAACAATCTGGTTTTCATCATATGACAACCCATTGTCTCTGATCAGTCATGGTGGGCTTGCATGTCATCTGAACTCAAGACCACTTCTAACATGGCAGACTTATTTTTCAGCAACAAGCCACGCTGACAGCCCAGGGCTTGTTCTAGGAACTATTCAATCCCCAACAGCTTGTCAGGTCATCCAAACACAAAAGAACATTTATTTTCTTTCCTTGACAAGTAAAATAAACAAGGAAATTGACCAGGTAAGACTAGACATATCAGACACCTGTAAGCACTTATGAAAGAGTGACAGAAAAAATGACCCCGCAGTTATACACCTCTGAGGCTCCCCACAAAAAAATAAAATTCTACAAAACAAAAAATACCAAAAACCCAGTGGTGGACAAAAAGGGACAGCAAAAAGAGCACGAGGGGGAGACAAGATGGGTTCTGCCAAGGAGGACATTTGAATACCAGATAAAGAAGGGGTCCTCAAACTTTTTCATCAGGGAGCCAGCTGACAGGTGCCAGCGGTGGGCGTGGGCCACCAAGGCGGTGCCAGCAGGGATGTACCGGCTGGTGAGGAGGTGGGGAGCGCACACACATGCAAGGCGAGGCAGGGACGGGGGGGGGTGCATGGGGCGAGATGCCGGCTTGCTCGCAAGATCATTTTCTCCGAGCAAGTCCAAAACAACCTCCTCACAAGCTGCGTGCCCATGCACATGCATGGCAAGTGCAAAATCTCTGGGGCGGGCTGGTTAAATGGGCATGGTGGGCCAGATCCAGCCCAAGGGCCTTAGTTTGAGGACCCATGAGATAAAGAATCAAGGGTAAGGACAAGGGAGGTCAAACCTCAGTGAGTTTGATCATCTGTTAAGCACACCATGGGGCTGTTCCATGAAAAAAAAAAAACATACTGTGTTGCTTATGTGCAACGTGGCTGAGCACATTATACAAACCTGCCCTATCTGTTTATACATACAATAGAAGTGGCAGCATTTTCCTCTTAAAAACAGCAGAGAGAATGCCATACTGTTTTCTTTACAACCAGTATTTAGAAAGAATTTTTGTAAAAGTCTGCCAATAGTTTCTACAGAAATAATACTTTTGCATCCCCTGTCAAAAACTGCATTTCAGACAGCAGCCAGGATCCAAAAGGTGTTGTGCTATCCCACATAGAATTCATGACTTTCCCCATGCCTTTAAAGAGCACCGCTCAGCCCTATCCACTATATCACTAAGACTTTTGAAATTCCATGCAGAATGCCAGATGGTGTTGCAGAATAGCTTGCTACAAGAGAACAGCAAGCTTAAAGCAAGAATAGGGAACATGTAGCCCTCTATATGTTGTTGAACTCCATTGGCTTCAATCAGCATGGCCAGTAGTCTGAGAACATTTGTATTTAGTCCACAGGGTCTCCACTCCAACTTTGAGTTTCATAGTTCTTTGGTTTCTGTCCAATAAGAGCAACTGTACTCAATTTTACACTGAAGACTTTGTAGAAAGAGTAAAAATAATAAAAATAGTAAAATAGTAAAAAAAAAAAAAAACAGTAAAAATAAACCCACTATTCCTGCCTACAGAGTTAAAACTTAATGTGATACAAAAAGGAGTTGGGAGAAGGTTGTTCTGGGAGAAGAGTTACTACCATGTGCTAGTTAATTTTTTGAACACATTTGTGGATTAAAAAATTGTATAGTATTTTTTTCCTTGAGGAGGACTCCCATGCTACTTTGTATGCTGGTGTACAGTAGGATACATACGTGAGGTTAAATAACTGCAGATGCAAATAGAAAAACTAAGAGAAAAGAGCACAGGCTAAGAAAATGATAAAACTGCTCCAACATGGCCAACATCACGACCTCCTCCATGACACCTTTAAAAACTTATTTCCTATTTCATGACTTCTGCAGAGCAGAGCAGAAGAATCTGTCCCAGCTGGTCTAGGAACTGTAGGATACATGCAGCCTAGTTCCCAGGAAACAAGTGACCAGGGAAAGCAAACTGGAGTTCAGCAACAGAGTTTAGAGGGGAGGTCTCTAATGTTTTTTCTTTTCCCCACCCTTAGTTTCCCCCTTCGTTTTCTTCCTTGTAACACACTCCCACTTACTGGTAGGGGCGGTGTTGTTAGTCTTCAGGGAAGACAAGAGAAAGAACAGGTTGTCACAACAGGCCCTACAAAGTAGAATCAAATGGTGAGAGAAAGAATGGACTGAGAAGGCTTCCCAGTGGTGGTGACCTGCAACGCCTGCACTCTTTGTTTTTTTGCCTGAGGTCAATATGACCTACATGTGCAATATGCAAGCTTGTGAACCTGTGAGAACACTAGAGCAGTGAGTGTCCACCTTCAAGGTAATAAAAGTAGCAGCAGCATTTTTGGACAGAGTGATGGAACTGCAACAGCTAAGAGTAGCAAAGAAGCTAGAAGTGCAAGAGCAAGCTGGGGCAGAAGAGGAGAATCCTGAGAGAAGGGAAAATGAGAAAGAAACTCCCTGGAAAGGGGTGGCAAGTGCAGAAGAACTAGAAGACACTCTGTACCTGTAGATGCAGTGGAACTATTAAACAGCTTTCAGTCACTCAAAGATGAATCTGGAGGACAGTCTGCCACAGAAGAACTGCAAGTCATCCTGTTCAGCACTGCATAAGAGGCTAAAGGCTACATCCAAGTAGTGACAAAGATACAAATGCTTGCAAGAACAAGAAGAGTGTTAGCTGTGGGAAGCTCCCTTTTGTGTGGGATGGAAATACAAGTGAGAAAGACCTGTGGGCTTGTCAGGTACACTGTCTCCCTGGAGGACAGAATAGTGATATAACCAAAAGATCATCAAGGTTCATACAGTCCACTGACACATATCCCTCTCTTCTTCTGCATGTGGAAACAAATGACACAAATGGCTTTGAAAAAATCACATCAGACTTTGAATCTTTAGGAAGGGAAGTCAAGAACTTTGGGGCTCAGACAGTTTTCTCTTCAATCCTCCCAGTTCTTGGAACAGGCACAGACAGGGAAAGAAAAATACTCCAAGTGAATGCCCGGCTACAAAGGTGGTGCCAACGTGAGAAATTTGGATCCTGGGGCAATGGGCTACACTTCCTGGAAAATGGACTGCTGGCAAGGGATTGGTTGTACCTTACAAGGAGTAGAAAGCATGTGTTTGGCCACAATATGAACAAGTTTATCAGGAAGGCTTAAAACTGAACCTTACAGGGGAAAAGTACACTTGGGCATAACAACAGACATAGACTTATGCAGCACAACAGAGAGAACAGCTCGTTATTTGTTTTTCGGTGCCAGGCCAAGACCTTTTTATTTAAACGATATTTTAATTGTTAATCTATGTTTTATTTAATGGTTTTATATTATCGCTGAGAACTCCAAATTTTTAATATTGTTCTATGCTTTATTTATTTTCCTTGCGAGCCCCGAGGCTTCGGCAATGGGTGCAGCATAGAAATCTTATAAATAAATAAATAAATAAATAAATAACAGTGCCCAATAATAGGCTTCCAAAAAATGTGGGAAGAGAACTACACTATAAAACACATGGTCTTTGATGTCCATATACTAATGCCTGGAGTATTGGAAACAAACAGCGTGAACTTAATACAGGAGGGCGAGTATGACCAAATAAATATAACTGAATTTTGGTGGGATGACTTTCCTGACTGGAATTCAAGAACTGAGGGATATTAGCTGGTTTAAGAAGAGTAGAAGTAACAGAAAGGCAGGCAAAGTCACACTATAAAGATACAGATCTCTGCACAGAAATACAGGATGAGCTTAGTAGCACGTTATACAGAGGTGAGTCTGCAAACACCTTGAAAACAATGCAGTGATTACTAAAAACCAACATGGATTTCTCAAGAACAACTCCTGCCCAGACTAATCTGATTTCGTTTTTTGACTGAATAACCTCCCTGTTTGATTGTGGGAATGCTGTGAATGTAGTATATCTTGACTTCAGCAAAGTTTTTGACATGATATTCTGATTAGTAAACTAGCTAAAAGTGGGCTAGTTGATGGACAATGATCAGGTGGAGCCACAGTTGGCTACAAAATCAGACTCAAAGGGTGCCATCAATGGCACCTTCTCAAAGTAGGGAGAGGTAACAAGTGGGATACCACAGAGTTCAGTCCTGGGCCCAGTGCTCTTCAACTTTTTTTTAATAAAGATGTGGATGAGAAAGTGCAAGGAATGATTATCACATTTGCAGATGACACAAAACTGGGTGATTCAGTACCCTGGAACACAGATCAGTGATCTTGACAGATTGTAGCACTGGGCTGAAAATAAAATGAAATTCAATAGGACAAATGTCAAGTTCTGACCTAGGAAAAAGAAAACAAATGCACCATTGCAAGATGGGGAATATTTGGCTCAACAATATTGCAAGTGAGAAGGATCTTGAAATTGTTGTAGATCACAAGCTGAATATAAGACAATGTGATGCGGTTGCAAAAAGAGCAGATGCTATTTAAGGCTGCATTAATAGAAGTATCACTTCCAAATCCCGTGAAGTACTGAAAACAAAGCCCTGTGAGAGGAGACTGAAAGGACTGGGCTTATGTTTAGCCTCAAGAAGAGAACATTGAGAGGAGACAGAATAGCATTCATCAAGTACCTGAAAGGCTTTCACAAAGAGAAAGCACAGGATCTCTTCTTGATCATCCCAGAGTACAAGACATGGAATAACAGGCTCAAGTTACAGGAAACCAGATTCCAGCTAGGTGTAAGGAAAATCTTTCTCACCATTAGAGCAGTACAACAATGGAACCAATTGCATAGGAAGACTGGGGGCTCTCCCACATTAAAGGCATTCAAGATGCAACTGGGTAGCCATCTGAGAGGGATGGTTAACTTGGAATCCTGCACAAAGCAGGCGGTTGGACCCAATGGCCCTCCGGCCCCTTCCAAGTCTATTCTATGATTCCATGGTTCCAATAACGCAGAGCAATTGACAATACAAATACACAGGAGAGTGTATTTTCATTCTATACCTGTAAAACTTAGAAAATCTTTAAAGATATTTCTTTTGTAACTTTTCCAAACAAAATCTGTTGGATGGGTCTGAGGTAGAAACCAAGCAGAGCAAAAGCAATTGCACTAAAATTATTTTAAAATGCACGAACTGTCTCTGCTAGCTGACAAGTCTATGCCCCTACATATTTTTATTCAGGGAAAAAGCTTATCAGTGCACAAAAATACCTTATGGTACACAAATACTAGACTTACGATCACAACCCCCATACGAACAGAGGACTCTTTGTAATTTAACCGTTTTGAGTCTCTTATCGATCATTACTACATCTCTTTTTAATACTTTCACCTACCTTTAAGGCCTCTGTCACAAAAGGAGGGAGACAACATTTTATTAAAATAGAAATGAAAAGTACAATTTGAATACCACACGCAAAAGAACTACGGAGAGGCAGACAGAACGCTAGCAGCATGGGTAACAAGCAGGCTTTCCAGGGTACTAAACAGGACGGCAGCCTGCGAGGTGTACTGAAAAACAAGCAAGCAAGCAAACCTGCATCGAGGTGTACTCAGAGAAAAATGCGAAAAAGGAATATATTAAACGCAAATCAATGAAGCTGTCCTAAACTCCGAAGGTACAAAATTAGAGGCGACAAAGGGCGCGAAGCACTTTCCAGACTCAATGCAAGAAACACACACACACAGACACGGTTTAAAAAAAAAAAAAAAAAAACCCGAGTGGTTCGACCTCACTCCATCTGAGCACGTTTCGCCCCCGCCCCATCTTGCCCACCAATCCACCCCGCGCTACCCCCAGCTTGGAACTGGGAGGAAAAGAGACTAGGCCGCGAAGCCAACCAGCGAGCTCGCCCGCCCGCCTGCCCGCGCACCATATCCCTCAGGGCGGCAACCCTCTCCGCTCCGGGTCTCTCGGCAACTCCCTACGGGCAGCCTCCAGCGCTCCCCTTCTCCTCTTTCAGCTCTCTCCGACCAGCAGCACCGCTAACTCGGCCCCACATGCGGCCTCACCTTCCCACTAGCCTTCTGCGAACCGCCTGGCGTCTTGTCCGCCATCTTGATTCTGTTCCCCGCTCAAGCCTTAGAGGCAGAGAATCGAGTACCGGCCCCACGGATTGAAGAATAGAATCGGGGAAAGAGAAGCAGGCAGCGCGAGTCGCTAACCGAGCGCGAGATGCTGAAGCCTGCGCAGCAAACGGACCCCGCCTCGCTCAGCTTTGCCGTAGGGTAAGAGAAGTGAGAAAGTGCGTCAGAAGGGCAGGCTTGCGCGGAGCCATTTGGTCCCTCAGGGCTGCAGTTTTTGACAGACGCATCAGAGATGCCTGTCTCATGTCACAGCTAGACATCCAGAAAGCTTGGCACACTCTTGGTCTTACTTCTGTTGGACCGATAAAGATACCACACTAATTTGAATTGTTACCAATTGCAGCACCCCAAAACACCCCAAAAGTAATTGGCCAGAGAAAGGCTCCAAAAGTAGTTGGCCAGAGGAAGGACACATAGTAAAAACACCACAGTTATACTGTCCCGGAAGGGAGGGGGGATAAGAACAAAATGAACTTTGTGTAACCCACAGCTGATACGTTAGCCTGACCTCGAATGCAGTAATCAAAGGGACAGTGGAAACTGGTTCCAGCCGCCATGAAAGTTGCGAATGTGCAGAGAGTAAGAACATGGCAAGCCTGTGTGAATCTCGAGCAGATAAGAAATAGACATGGGAAATGTCTGGTCCATGACAGAAGAAAGGACTCTTTCTCCAGCACGGGAGGGGGTGCATACATTGATGTATCGATGTATTAGATGTGTGTTAGGTGACCTAATTGGTTACCTAGGGTATAAAACGCATGTACTGGGGTGCAACTTTTGAGACACTGCTTTGGGCTGAATGTCCCCTTTTGTCTCCCTTTATTCTATAGCACACTAGAATAAAGCTGATTTTGGGTCTAGGTCTCATCTCAGGCTCTGTTTGGCTCGGGTCTGTGGTCCACCCAGGTTTGCCCCAGCTGTTGACTGACTCAGTCCAGTAACAGAATGAAGGAGAGACAGATGTCGCCATAAAAGAGGAAGCATAACCCTTCACACAGAAATGGAAAAGTGGCCATTTCTCAACCGCCAGGAAAACCCTATAACAACCACCACCCCACCCACAACGACGAAAATGTTTTAAGAGTCTTGGCCATATTCAGAGTGGGCTTAACCAAAATGTACATTTACTACACCATTTCCACTGGCCTTCAGCTAAAACATTTATAATGCAAAAACGCATGGGACTTAGCTTTTAATTGGATTGTCTTTTTTATATTACCAAAGTTACAACTTTTTGCACATTAGGGACAAGTCTTGCAAGACTTATTTCTGAGAAGATGTGCATAGGATTGTGCTTTGTGTCTTGATCTTGTCTTTCTGAAAGCACAGAGTTAACAAACATGCCCTTCATGATAAGGGTAGGCTAAAAGGTGTTCTATAATGGTAGACTACAAAGTTGTTCTGTAATGGTAGGATAAGACCTTCATTCAGACCAACTAACAAAATCACCACAATATCTTGGACAATATTTTAAATGGGGCATGGGGCATAACATAAGAAAACTTCTGGATCACTGAAACAGAATCAATTCATGGTCTAAGAAGAGGACAGAAGAGAATATAGAATTGCATAAAGTTTGAATATATTCATTTAAATAAAAGTACAATAGATGCCACCCTCATGGAGAAAATTGTTACTGAGTATGTGTGTCCAGGCTCCAACTGTTGATGGGCAAGAAGCTTTGTCTCTCTTTTTTTATGCATCTTTATCTTTAAAGATAAAGGACTTGGACTGGACAACTCTCCCAACGGAGGATATCTTCAGAGAAAGGAGTATACTCTGGCAGCCCTTCAGATAGAAAAGCTTCTGCAAATTGGTCTTCTGTACAATAGGATGCATGGCCACTGTAATGTACATCTGTATACCTCAAAGCTCAGTTTCACACACATTGCAAATGCATGGCTGCCTGGGAGCATATCCAACAAGTGCATGGACATCAGGGAGCATGGTTGGTAGATTAAATCTTATTCTCTCCCACATAAGGTTGATGGTTGGTTTGCAGGGGATGGGGTATGAGGCGAGACTGAGGGAACTGGGTCTCTTCAGCCTGGGGAAGAGGAGACTCAGAGGGGATATGTTGGCGACATACAGGTATGTGAGGGGATGTCACATGGAGATGGGTAGAGACCTGCTCTCCCCTGCAGAGGAAGGCAGAACGCGCTCCAACAGAGCAAAGCTCAGGGAGCCAAGGTTTCGTTTGGATGCCAGGAAGCACTTCCTGACAGTCAGGACCCCAAGGGTGTGGAACGGGCTTCCACGAGAGGTCGTTGAGGCCCCATCGGTGCAGGTGTTCAAGGATAGGCTGGACGAGCACATGGTGGGCATGTCGTGAGCGGAGCCGGCTGGTGCTGGAGGTCAGACTAAATGGCCCGGGAGGCCCCTTCTGACTCGCTCTGTTTCTATGTTTCTATAACATCCATTGAACACATGAGGACTTACCTCTGAACATCACAGCCTGTCAAGGCAGAACAAATCAAACTGTTGTAGAAAAAAAATCACTGAGATGTTGGATAAGGGTTTGGACACTGATAATAAAAAACATAAATAGATTCATAGATTTTTATTCACTTAAAGGGGCTGTTGGGGGAGAGAGATTCAGTGCTTTTCTATCCAAAGTACGCATTCTGGGCCCATGATTCCACACAGTTGTTTATCAGACAATGGCAAAATCCTCCAGTTTCACTTGCTTTTTCACAACACTTTCCTGGGTTATTGTTGGGGTTTTGTTGGGGGTTACTTTTGTAAAAAATGAGAAAAATACAGGATTATATTAGAATGGGGAAAATAATGAAATTTTTCCTTGTGTACTGCATTTGAGTTTCTCCAGTATTGCACTGAGCCATCTAGTGGTTGTGCAGCAGAAAAGCAGGAAAGGAAAGACGTTTTGTCTCAATGCTGTGACAAAACCGAAAGGAGATTAACAGCTCCATCTAGTCAAACCCGTAATGATAGATGCCAGCATGTTCTGTAGCAGAGGAAGCAGCTTTAGGAAACACAGTGACAGCATGCAGTTGTGGTGTGTTCCACAATAATAAAGATGGGTGCTTCCAGATGAAGTTTTGCTGCTTCTTTCATGGAATTTTATTGGAGAATCCAAATTATATCTTTCATTTGCTTCTCTGCCCCCTTTCCCACCTATTACTTTCCACCGAAGGTACTTGCAGATGAAAGGCTCCAAACAGAAGACACTATACATCTCTCCCTCCTCAATGGATATTTTTTATGGAAAGAAAGAAGAAGCAGTGGGAAAATACAGGCTCATTACAGGTTGAAGATGATGGAATCAGGGAAGCACACACTTTAAAATTCCTTGAACGAGGCGGAGAAATGGTACAATAATGACTTGTCTGGAAGTAGCCAGAAAATTCATTAGGGAGGAAACACGGAATAGCTAGATAGACTCTTATCAACCAACCACTCACACACCCTTCTGTGCAGTTCCTTGAATAAGGCAAGGGTTAAGGTGATTGCAAAGTGAAAGCCTCTTCCGGAAGCTCCTCTGCTCTGCATTTTTGCATAATCTCTTGAGGAGCTGGGAGTGGTGGGGCAGAGTCTTTAGCCGGATGTTCTCTGAAGTACCTAACCACTAGAGGGTGTAGATAACACTTGATTTTTCAGTAGGAAAACCAGGAGTACTTAGACTAGATAAATATATGTTGTGTGCACCACAGCAAGCCATACCAAACTCCCTAAAACCAGCATTTACTTGACATACTGGATTACTCCCATATTGATCTGTTGGTTACAGTGCTATTATCTACCCAAAATGATTCTTGTGCAGATCCTTATATGGGGGAAGAAAGCATTGGGTTGATTGCCTCAGACTTGATACATGGAGGATACCATATCAATACTGACAAACAGCAGAATCAGAAAAGAATGTCAGAGATGATCGTCATCTTCTGTTGGGGGTCACCTTCCACTGGGGTAATCTGTCAGGGGCCACTTGCCAGAAGCAAGCAGTACAGAGCCAAAAGGGCCACAGTTCCTTCTAGGCAAACTTCTGAGGGCTGGGCATCGGGGGGGGGGGGGGGAAGCTCCATGCAAAAGGTAGACAGAGGTCAAAGGTAAAGTAGTTCAGATAAACCCACACACTGTTGAAGCCTATGTAATACTTTTTCCATTGCAATTCTGAACTTAAAATAACAAGGGTAAGGGAAGTGTGCTATCTTGTTCTTTTTCTGAGGCAGGAAAATGCCTTGGGCCCAGAAAGTGAGTGGTCATTTTGTAAGGTGCAGAAGTAAGGCTGATCATCTTCCTGAATTGATGACCGGGGATGGGGATAATTCATTTGTTACATTTCTAATTAACCCAAAGCAAAAGTTCTCAGGGCAAAACAATGCATGCCAACAATAACCAACACAGGAAAGACAATATCAAATATATATAAAAAGTTCATAACATAAAACATACTTGGGAGGAATGAAAAGTCTTTAGCCAGCATTGAAGAGACCACAGTACTGGTGCCAGGCAAGCCTCCTTAGGGAGAGCATTCCATAAACAGGTACCACAAACAAGAAGGCCCTTTCTTTTGTAGCCACCTACATAGCCTGGAAGAGGGTTTCCACATATGACCTACGGGTCTGAGCAGGTTCATATGGAG